AATATCCACTCAGTGACTAGTAAATTTATCACCTTGTAATGGGAATATTATGACAGGCAAAACAATGCTCAGTTGGCAGAATTAACCCATGGTCCCCCCATATGTGTCACAAATAACCATGTACCCTAATTCTAGGACCATTTCCTGGGAATCCTAGAGAGCATAAAGAAATGGTTGGAAAGATGGAGGAGGCGTGAGGAAGTCCACTAGGAAAGGGACTTGGCAAGACTTCATGCTGAATAACACTGGGCAGTACTCAGGCCATGTCTGAATTGTCATCTCCTCAGTTTAGAGTAGGATGGACCGTTGCAAACTACTTTCTATATAGCATGATTAATAACAACCCAGAGACCAAAATTGGGGTTCAACCTGAAGGTCAGAAAAGCAAAACAACCAGCCACTTGTTCTTACCTCTATCTCAGTCCGAAATGGCAATCCTGCCTCCTAGAATCTCAGAATGAGACTGTGTCTGAGAGCTGTCTCCTCCCGTCTCTAGGGCTGGAATTAAAGGAATGCATGACTACCACCCGATTTCCATGGCAAACTAGTGTGGTTACTGGGATTAAAGGTGTGTGTCACCACTGTCTGGTCTGTAAGGCTGGTCGGTGCAACTGTTTTGCTCTTTGAACTTCAGACAAGCTTTATTTATTAAAAATACAGATGAAATATCACCACAGCTTCGCAAGTGGGTGAGCAAATAACCGGGAGTTGGGAAGCTAGCTTCCAGATCAGCGTCTGCCATCCCAGAAAGTTCCAAGGCAGCAGGCCAGGAGGCAGGGACGCACGTGGCCTTGCTGAGTATTCTGAGCTTCAGTTCCCTAGTATAGCTAAACCACAGTGACAGCCTCCATCAGTGGTCACACCACAGGCCCTGCTGTGGGTGCTAATGCCACCGAGAGCAGATTCTAAGCCTGTCTCAGGGTTCACTAGCTTGTCGTTCATACTAATAATCGAGGAACTCATGACCACATGAACCAGTAGTCCTCAGCGCTAAGCACTCAATGGCCCTGTGAGGTGGAAAAACTGTTCTGATATGTGTATATCAGAATAGTGCTGTAATGAGAACAGTCTAATATTCTGGTTCTGTTCAATATCCCTTCTCTTCTGAGACCTGAAAGAACTTCAGATTATTAAATTTTGTGTGGGGAGTGGAGGTCAGGGTCCATCAGCTTTAAGTTTTGATGCTTTCTTAGCACTGAACATTAGTCCACTGAGCACTTTAGTGGCTTAGGGAAAATGTAGTCTGCTGAAAGTTGGGAAAAGGAAAGTGCCTCCGTCGACGCTGTGACATTATATTGCCATCCTCTAAATGTCTCCATGGGGAGGTAACTCCTGGGCATGCGAGACACCAGGCCTGCCTCCTCACGACGTCGCAAACCCTTCTGGGTTTCTGGCAGGCTGGCCCATATCATCCTTGTTGCCTGAAGAGATGAGAGAATGTTTTTGTAAAACAGACTGGCAAGGCACCATGGGTAAGGACACTCTGGTGTCTTCTCACCATAGCAGGACTTTGTCCTTGGCTGTAAATGACAAGGACTGGCTAGGAGTGCTTTTCTGGAGACGGAGCTGCTTCTAAATGTGTGTATCTGCCTTTTCACTGATGGATATTCAACCAAGAGAACTGTCGCCCTCTCCCATTGCGAGCCCTTTCCAGCATGTGTCCACGCTCTTTTCATCTTGCCCTTTGGAGTGGCTCATTTTCTCCCTTCACAGTGAGCTCTCCTTGGGGGATCTACCCTCTGCCTTAGCACAGTGCGCACCTCCGTTACTTATTCTCTTCAGTATCTTCCTTCGTAATGGCCTTACTTTGTTCTCGGATGTCCTTACCTCTCTGCCTGCTGGAACAAACCTTGACATCTCTCTCTCTGTCTGTCTCTCTCTCTCTGTCTCTGTGTGTGTGTGTGTGTGTGTGTTGCACTTCTCTGCCCCAAAATTTTCAGAATCACTGCACAATAGGGTCGCATTGCTTTTCTTCCCCGCAACTGCCCAAAGAAGGCTCAAGAATAATCCATCAGAATGAAATAGTCAATGGTCCCTTCCAGGAGAAATCACAAAAAGATGAATCAGGAAAAACTGTCTCCAGGCAGAAAATGTCCCTCCGCCCCATATCTGTCCTCCAAAGAACTGTACCATAGATACGGATGTTATCAGGGCTCTCTGTCAAGTGGCTCAGGGTTGGAGCATTTGCCTGCCATGCCTGATTACCACCCGGTACCAAGCAAAAGGAAAAATGACTTGAGGAAGGGTTATTGGCACTGGAGATGGCCAAAAGACCCCAGGTTGGAGGAGGAGCAGGGGGCCATGGCCAGAAGTCCCTGGGAGTTTTATCAAGCTAGACTAGAAAGGCCAGGATGCCAAGGTTTTGGGGTAAGGGCGACCTCTGTGAAGTGTGTGAGTGACCCCTCAGGGTCAGCAACTTTATTAAAACCTTACCTGGTATCTCAGAGGACAGTGACGTTTTGTGGTTCCAACAGAGGCACCCTAAGGTATTGATGTCTGAAAGTCATAGGACAGCCTTGAGTCTTGGTCCTTACTTACCACCTTGTTTGAAACAGGATCACTTGGCTTTTCACTGAGCACAAGCTACCTGGCACACAGGTTCCTGGGGATTCTCTTGTCTCTGCCCTCACTTCTTATCATGGGAGTACTGGGTCTAAAGGCATATACTACTGCTTCATATAGGTTCTGGGAATCTGACCTGAGGTCGCCCCCACCCCCGCTTGTATTGTGAGCTCTTTACCAACCGAGCCATCTCTGCAACACTCTGTCTCTTCTTCATCACCAAACCCTCCCTCTCAACTTTTCCTGGAGTCTTTTCTAATTGACTTGGGCACTCTCCAGAGACTGGTCTCTTCTGGAGGGAGCTGGTCACAGTATGTCACCACAGTGCCGAACTATGTATATCAAAGAATGAACTGCAGGCCCCAGCATCCTCAGGGAGGGGTGCTCTCAAAAGGAAGAAAAGGCCTGAACTGGTCCTTAGCCACGCTTCTTTGCAAAGGAGAGCTGCCCTCAGCGTCTTGTGTAATGCCCTGGTCGCTTTCACACCAAACCTTTCTAAAATGAAAATGTAATACTCTGTTGTTCACTGGAGCTTTCCCGCAGTACTGTAATACCAGCGATAATCTATCTGCGAGGAGACTTAATAAGAATCCCAAGGAAACTCTGTCACAGCCCTGCTCATCAGTCTCAACTTATCTTCCCATCCAGCAGAGCCAGACTCGACTTCATTTGTTTATTTGTGGTTTGACTTATACTCTGGTTAACCTAAGAGTGAGCGATAGGGGAGGGGCGGAGGGATGGTCTCATCAGCTTGGCTGCATGAACCCTCGGGATCCAGAGATGTTACCAAACTAAGTCATGATGTGGCAGTTTCTCTGCCATATTTAGGGAGATGTAGCTGCTTGTGTCGGCCTGGCCAGCTGATTGAGATCCAACAAGAACGTCATCTTGCAACTGTCTTCATGGGGAGGTATGCCTGGGCATGCTGGACAGTAGGCTTGCTTCTTCGCTAAGTCATAAAACCTTCGAGGTTTCTGGCAGGCCTGTCCTTGTCTTCAGTGCCTCAAGAGATCAGAAAAATGCTCGTGTAAGAGAGAACGGTACGCTCTGTGCTGGGCAACTATATTAGTCTGTGTTCTGTTGCTATCACAAAATGTTTGAGGGTGCATAGTACATAAAGAAAAGAGGTTTATTCGGCATATAGTTTAGAGCTTGTTCAGAGACATGGTATCACCCTGGTACAGGCCTCATGGCAAAAAGTATCACAGTGGCAAAAAGCATGCAAGAGGAAGCAGTCACGTGGCAAGACAGGAAGCAAGACTGATTCTGAAGGCAAGCTTATTCTGTTGATGTCTCATTCTAGTGAGAACTAGTCAGGGTCTTTCAGGAACTCATTTCCTTCTGGTGGTGGCACCCCTCCTTCCAGGAGGCCCCACTTGTGCAAGGCCCCTCACCTCCTAGCAACAGAAGTATATGACCCCTGGGGACTCGCTAACCCATACCCATAACCCCAGCTGCTGTAGGAAAGGATTCCCAGTTCTCTGCAGCTCACATGATGTCTCCACCCCAGTGACACTCGGGAGCTCTCGGTTTTTCTCTCTCTGGGAATCAGGACCGGGTACCACATGCAGCTCCTCCAGCTCTTGGTCATTGGAGAGAGGGGAAGGAAGTCATAAGGGAGGAATAGTCAGTTCAACACCAGCATCGCTTCTGTGTGCAGCCCACTGCCAAGAGTTAGTCACAATGTCCACGTGGGTGCCAAGTGCCTGGACAGCTTCTCTAGACCCCAGAAAGGGACCAGCACTCTGACTGACCACACCACACCCTTTGTAGCCCTGGAATTTATAGGCAAGGCAAGAGCAAGCCCTGTGTTTCTAGACTACCTCCATTTGCTTAGAGCTGTGCCAGGGAAAAGACGGTGACTTTTCTTCTCAGGCATGAATGCCAGTACCAACCTGATCTACGGTAGGACAGAGCACATGTCCCATGGACCCATGGAGCCAATAAGCACCATCATGTGTTCCATTTTCCTCTTTGCATATACCAATAAAGATATGATATATGTCTTTGTTATAAATTCTAGACCTAAGACTTCATTTCCTACAGCATCACCTCTAGGGTGGTTTGGGTAAGAATGGCCTCAGTAGGTTCATAGGTTTGCTTGGTCATGGTATTTTATCACAGCAATAGAAAAGTAACAAATACAGCCTCCCTGAAGAACTATTAATAGCACTGTGATATGACTATGTCCAAAGCTATTACTATGAAACGACCACAAGATCCCTTCTCTTTTGACAAGGCCTTTCTTTCTCACCATATGGGAATGAATGCCAGGACTGTCTTGGCAGTGTCTCGCCTGACTGTGTTTAAGCAAACTCTGTTCATTGACATAGCTGTGAACAGCTGTACGTCCCTACCAGGAGGCATCCTGGGCCAAAGCCCCTGAGGGCAGAGAAGGCCACTGGGGCCCGTGACTCATGGAGGCCTTTCCTCCCCAGGTTCCCGTTCCCTATGGTGTTCAGCAGCTGTAGCAGGAAGGACCTGGAGACTAGCCTGGAGAAGGGAATGGGGATGTGCCTCTTCAACCTGCCAGAGGTCAAGCAGGCCTTTGGGGGCCGGAAGTGTGGAAATGGCTACGTGGAAGAGGGAGAAGAGTGTGACTGCGGGGAACCAGAGGTAAGGGGACCCTCTCCATGATGCCTACTGTTGCCTCTGCCCGGGAGAAGGGGGAGCTTGGGCGAGCATAGGCAGCAAAATAAACATGCTGGAAATGGGCAAAAGACTAGAGAGAGAGCTCACTTGGTAAAGGGCTTGCCATGAAGCCAGGAAAACCTGGGCTCCTAAAAGCCCTCATGGAAAAGCTGGGTGTGGTGGTGTGTGCCTGCAGTCCCAGCACCGGAGAGGCAGAGATGTGCAGATCCCAGAAACATACCAGCCAGTCAGCCTCATCCAATGGCGGAGGCCTAGAAGTCTTCAGTGAGAGACCTTAGCCACCACCCCCCCCCCAAAAAAAATAAGTGGCGAACTGGAGCAAGGACACTTGATGTTGATCTCTGGCCTACACACGTGTGGGGGAGGAGAGGAAGATAATGAGTTGGTAGTGTAGATACTGCTATAATCGAGATTCTCTGGAAGAGTCCCATGTGGCTACCTTGGACAAGTTCCCCATTGTGGATGGCTTTCTGGAGCGTTAGCCATGTACAGAGTTGGCTGTATTGCTAAGTTTTAACAAGGGAGTGCCTTCTCCTCTGTTGAAGGGTGCTTCCATTCTTAGGGTGATGAGGATGCGAACAATAAAAAGCAGTTGGCTCAGAGTTTCTTGGAAAGCAAAGCCCTGGGAGTCTAGCTTCTGGGGGTTCCTAAGTTCCAGGCCTTTCTCTTTGCAAAGCCTGCTGTGGATGGGAAGTGTGGATAAGCAGCGCTGAGCTGGGCGCTGTCTAGCTGAGATTGTTCTTCAGCCTCCTCTGTGTGCACAGCTGAAGCTCCAGAGGATCCAGCCATTCAGCTTGTTAGTTCTCGGAAGCAACAAGAAAAAGCAGCCAGCATTTGCAACCAGCAGTAAGCTTATTGAACCCTGCTTTCCTGCCAATCTCTGGGAAGTTTCTCATTTGTATAGGCCCAAGATAAAGATGGTAAACATAAAACATGTAAGTCATTTTCCCCTCCCTAAATAGTCTTGCGAAAGAACAACAAAGAGAACACTACTACCTAGCATGAGTCTAGCTTCTAAGGGCTCCTAAGTCCCGCTAGGCCCTAGACTATCATTGACAAGTGCCCCCCCACACATCTTGGAGGAGATGGTATTTGGAGTAAATCAAAGCCCAGGGTTTGCAGAGCAACTACGATGGAACTCCTTCCGTGAGGATATATGCAAGCCAGAGTGAGAGACAGGTCTGCGGCAGGTCTATAGATGGCTTCACAATGGCTCAAGAAACCAGCATCTCAGAGGGCTCCTTGGGAATGCTAATGCCCAGGAAACAAGGGAAGCCGGGGCAGGAAGCCTAAGCAGCTCATCACAGGAATAATAGAATCTTTATCATAGCCTGTCTCCAAGTCCCAGAGGAGGCTCCTCAGTGCCAGCGGGGATGCTCTTACTCTCACAGGTTCTGAGAGAAATGCACAGCACTTGGGGGTAGGGGCAATCAGATGGAGTGAGGGGAGACAGAAATAGTTTTGTGTCCTTGACAAACTCAGAACTTCTCCGTGATAATGGCCTTGTCCACAGCGGTGGTTAATTTTGCTCACAGTGAGCATGGAGCAGTTGCCGGCTAGGAACAAGTCCTAATTATAGTCTTACCGAATGGCTTCAGGATTAGCAAAGGGAAAAGTGAAGCCATCGTGGGATAGCGTGTACAAAGGAGAAAAGTCCCTTGGAGGCCTTGTTAATTGCTTAAAGAAACAACCCAATTAGTTTAAATTACCCACATTTCTCAGGAGAGGCCATGTTGACTTAAGATGGTTTGTCTTTGATCTGAATGCCTTATAATTATTTATTAATGCAAGTAAATCGGATGGTTCTTCCTGGAATCATGAACGCTGGGATTTGGAATGACTCCACTGGCAGTTATCCACCCCATGTGCCTTCATTAGCATCCACCACTGTCTCTGTGCCCACAAGTACCATCACTGCCACGTTCATCCTCTCCACACCACCATCCTCACACTGCCATCTGTACCATTAACTGCCATCCCCACCTCCAACATACCTGCATCACCACCCCGCTCAACATCGCTGCCACCCTAGTGTCCCTACCAGCATCGTCACCATTGCTGTAACTACATCCTGACCATCATCACCCAACGTCCTCAGTGTTATCACCACCAGCACTGTCCCAGCATCAGCATCCTCACCACCAGCACTAGCACAGCCATCACCACCAGCACTGCCCCAGCACCAGCATCCTCACCACCAGCACTGTCCCAGCATCAGCATCCTCACCACCAGCACTGCACCAGCATCAGTATCCTCACCACCAGCACTGCCCCAGCACCAGCATCCTCACCACCAGCACTGCCCCAGCACCAGCATCCTCACCACCAGCACTGCCCCAGCATCCTCACCACCAGCACTGCCCCAGCATCAGCATCCTCACCACCAGCACTGCCCCAGCATCAGCATCCTCACCACCAGCACTGCCCCAGCATCAGCATCCTCACCACCAGCACTGCAGCAGCACCAGCATCCTCACCACCAGCACTAGCCCAGCCATCACCACCAGCACTGATGTATCAGGGGATCCCTGTGTTCCTATTGCCAGCTACTCATGTTATGCTCCTCCAGCTCCACAGAAGAATCCCACAGCCATGGGTAGGTGCTTGATCTCTTTCCAGGGACCTCACTACACTGTGGGGCAATGTTGATTGTGACAAACTCCTCATTAGATAAGGCCAAATCTGCTTGCATATAGTCCCCAGCTTGGTATTTCTATGGTTAGGGTTCTTCTTTTTTCATAAAGAGGTTTCTTGATATTTTAAGAAAACTCCCTTCTCATCTGAAGCTCTTCCTCCCTAGAACTCTGCTAACATTATAGTGAACCTTTTTGCCTCCCTTGTGTCATATTAACGTATTTTTTATGTTTTAAGTCTAGGTTCAGATGGCAATTGTACCTAGCTATGTGTCCTAGTTTCATCTCTTGCTGTGCTAAAACGCTCTGACCAAAAGTAACTTGGGGAGGAAAGGATTTCCTCAGCTTACATTTCCAGGTCACAGTTCATCATTGAAGGGAGTCAGGGCAGGAACTCAAGCAAGAAAAAACAGAAGCAGAAACCAGGAGGAGCACCCCTGTGGTCTCACTCTCTGGACCATGCTCAGATAGCTTCCCTTTCCAGCCCAGAACTACCTGGAATGGGCACTATCCACAGTGAGCTAAGCCATCCTAAATCAACTCACAGTCAAGACAACCCCCTACAGACATGCCTAGTCTGATCTTGGAAATCCCTTGACTGAGTCTCCCTTCTCAGACAACCCCAGGCTTACAAGAACACTAAGCTTCTTTGCCCAAGACTTCCATTCAAACCTGTTACCTGGGCTCTCTTGTCTGGTCCCCTGTGCCCAGGTCCTGCAGACACTCCTTCTGTTGCTAATCACACCAAATGCAGAGAATGGCAGATCAGTGTGACATACACCAGCACACAAGCCTGCATGTGCTCCCTCACTGCCAGAAGCTCCACTGTGTCCAGGAGAGTGCACTGTAGCTCATAGTAACCAAGAATCTCCATCTGCTTCCCACAGCCCAAGAAAGGCTATTTAGTGCTTATACACGGTCTTCAATAGCTTTGATATTCTTTTTATTTGGAGACCTGACATTCATTGGTTCTGTCGCTTCTCTGCTGACTTCTAAAATAGTAAATGCATCCATAGGCAAGGAATTTGTCTCTTCTGTGAAATCTGGTAGTACATAAATAGATTTGAGGTAGTTAAAAATTGTTTTTACCTTCTGGTAGAAGGTATTAAGGATTCCCTGATAAACCGCCCTTCCAACTCACAAGGCTGGGAACGCTGCCCCATCCCATTGAGAGTCAAGAGGATACCAGTCCCTTGCACATCTTTTAAACGTCATTATCTTTCTCACGTGATGGATCCCCTTTGAAGTCGTTCCACTTGGCTACCTTCCCATTGGGGCTGCTGCTTACATTACAAGTGATTTGAGGGGTGGCAGGAGGAGCCCTCACAAGTGTGTTAGACCCAGATATCAGATGACCGCTTTAACTCGGCATTGCAAGGAAGTCTCCAGCTCAGCTCCTATAACATTCGGGAAGTCACTGAGACCACAGCAAGCCGAGAGGTGCTGCTGCACACCCAGGGGCACTGGTCCAGGATGCAATTAATGGGATCCTTAAGAGGGAAAACATTTCTAAACTTGTATAGAGCTGTAAGCCCATAAGCTGAAAACCCTCCCTGTCATGAAAGCCGCACTGACTTCTGGTTGGCAGCTTTATCTTACTGTGTACATTACATGTCCCGGATGTTTACAGAGTCCTCAAGCGGATTTAAAATTTAACAAGTTTGGAAGTATGCATGGTAGGAACAAACGTAAACACTGCGTGAGAGATCAGTCTGTGGGGCTCCGTGGCGGATGCTGAGCAGGTGTCTGGGGGCGCCCTACATCTTCCCAATCACTGGCAGATTTATTAATTACATCTATAAGACCGAGAGGAAATTCATTCATGAGAGATATTTTTCAGGAGTAACCGACTATACTGTAAGACATGGATACAATTAGCTTCATGCTGGCTGGCCAGGTGTAAGTTTTTCAGAATACATCAAAAATTAAAGAATGTTGAGGTCTTGGGCGGCATTAAGCATTCTGTGACATTTTCTTCTAAATCGCACAAATTCCAAGCTTCCAGGAGGCTCTAAAGCTCATGGGCTTCAGGGATTGGCTACACAAGTGGGTGCAGGCCTTTGGCTAAGACAGGCAAAGGGTGTTGATCCCAGTCTCTATCAGAAAGCCGTGAGCTCACATGGTGTACTGTCTCTAAAGGAGTTGAATTTCTTCTTCACTTCTGTTTCAGAGGGGATAATACAGCTCAATTTGTGTGTGTTTAGATCCCCAGAAAATGGGCATGCTCAGGACAGGTGTGGTAGCATAATCCTCCAATCCTCACACTAAGGAAGAAGAGACTGGGGGATTACCCACCAAGGGTTGGGGCCAGCCTGTCTATAAAGGAAGTACCATGCCAGCCAGGCCCACAGAGAGAGACCTTAGCTCTTAAAACAAGAAAGAAGGCTGAGGATATGGCCCAGTTGGTAAAGTTTTTAACTTGCATCCATGAGTCCTTGGGCTTGATTTAAAATAAAAATAGTATAAGAGAAAAGGAAGGAGAGAGAAAGGAGAAAAGAAGGCAGGGAGGGGGAGAGTGGCCAAAAAGGAAAGGGGGGAGGGAGAGAGGGAGGGAGAGAGGGAAAGGAGGAAAGAGGATGGGGGAAGGGGGAAAAAGTAAATAAAATGAGAACTCCTACCCTAGCACCATTCAGCCTCACTCTGATGCCCAGTCCTCTCCCCAGAATATCCTAGGCCGAGGGCTTACCTTTGCTAAACAAGGGTTTACTCCTCACCCACCTGGTACACCACAAGGAACTGGGCTGAATGTTTTTCCTCTCGTTGCATCTGCATACTCCAAATCAGAAGTAGATCCTCCCATTTTTTTAAACAAATACACCAAACAGGTGCTGTACCACTGGGTTGCACTTCTATCTCTCAGAAGGGTTCATGCTTGAAGAGTAAGGGTCACATCCATGCATGGTTTTTTGTTTTGTTTGTTTTGTATTTTGTTTTGCTTGGATTTTGTTTTGTTTTGTTTTGTTTTTGAGACAGCATTTCTCTGTGTAGCTGTGGCTGTCCTGGAACTCACTCTGTAGACCAGGCTAGCCTCTCACTCACAAAGATCCCCCTGTCTCTCTCTGCCTCCCAAGTGCTGGGATTAAAGGCCTGTGCCACCACCACGCTGCCCATGCATGTATTTTGAAATGAGCAATTTCCAAGCCCTTCGATGATTCTGACACAGCTCACTGCAACATGCCCTGCAGGAAGAATTCCCAGAGAGCTGCTGACCTGAAGCGCTCCTGGCTTCCCTCCCCCAGACCCTCCCTCCATGAAGGACTCTTGAGGGCTCCTGACTTCTCTTAGCAACAGCAGACTCCTTGGTTCACAAACACTTACCAGACACTTTGCTCCTGGGCCAAGGAAAGCAGAGCTGGGCCAGGTTTTCAGCTCAGGATCTGGGCACCTTAGCCTTTGCTGTCATTTAGGGTGTGACGTTGGCATTCTGAGAGTCACCGTTCCACATGACCCTTCAAACGGATCCCATTCCTCTCCTCAGGAATGTACCAATCGCTGCTGTAACGCCAGCACCTGCACTCTGAAGCCGGATGCTGTGTGCGCGCATGGGCAGTGCTGCGAGGACTGCCAGGTGAGTCCAGCTTGGCCGGAGGCTTCTGCCTGGTTTGGGTGGCTCCAGTCTGATGCAAGGGAAGTCGTATGGTGAGCTGCTTTCCCCAAGATCATCCTGGCAGGGAAGCTGCCCTTTCACCAGTCAGTACCATCTAGTAGTTCTTAGAACTCTCTAGTCTGGTAAAATGACCAGTTTAATTGCTAACTCTTGTGATAAATGGCCCACGGGCTAAAAACTAACAGGACTGAGAAAGCCAAGCTCAACCCTAATATTCCATTTGTGCTTGTGGGTGTCCTAACTCCATGAGAAAAGCAATGACAGGAGAGCCTAGCCTTACCCCTGTCACTAAGCCTCATGCCAGGTCCACCTGCCTGATGCCAGTGTCTGGCAGGTAGCAGAGAAGCCATTCTGGTGGTTCCTGGGATGTCTGCACCAACAGAAAGTGTGGACCACCCTGAACTGCCAGAGTGGCAACTGCCTGACTTGCTGTTTGCACTGCTCTGACTGCTCTTGCTTTGGCATTTCTACCAGTCATCCTGTTTATTCAGAATGCATGTCTAACGGGGAAGGCCTGAGCATTGAAGGTTCCTAGGATAGGAGTTTATGTCTTGATACTTAAGCAGTTGATCTTGGCACAAGGATTGCAGGAAGCTCCGTGATCCACCCCACCCAAGCACATCATTTAGAAATGGATTATAATGATGCATGTGTGTCTGTGTATGAATGTGTATATGAGTGTTTGTGTGTGTGCATGTGTGTGTGTGCGTGCGAGTGTGTGCATGTGTATGATATGTGAATATGTGTGTGCATGTGTGAGTGTGTGCATGTGTGAGTGTATGAGTATGTGTATGTGAGAGCATGCATATGAGTGTGTGTGTGTGTGTGCATGCGTGTGTGTCTGTGACTGTGTCTGTGTGCATGTGTATCCCCTCCTGATGCTTACTAAGTTCTGGAAAATATAAGAAGTACCCAGTACCCAGGTACCCAGTTACTAGTGCTGGAGAGTGCCAGGAAGGGGATGAACCTACACGGAATAAGGCTCAAGGTGGGAGGGATATGTGGGTACAACTGTCATCCACTTCTGTAGCTTTCCAGTAATCCCTTCCAAACTTCAGGCTTTCTAGGAGTTGGTGGGTGATTCAGCTTGTTGCCTTCAGGAGTATGCAGGCCACCCAAGCCCCGGACTTGGCGGCCTTGACTGTGGAGCTCAAACAAGCTCCCCTGAACCTTCATTTCTTCAGTCTAAAAGATGAGCTGCTTGTCAGACAGAGGTCTAACAGCCTCACTGACAGCCACTACCACGGCTGCTTCTGCTGCCACCTCCTGGTCCTTCTCCCCATCCTCCCCCTATCCTTCCTGCTGCTCCCCCTCAGTTTTCCCCATAAAGTGATAAAGGGGGCCCTGGTTCTTTAACCGGAGGACAGTATAGCCCTGTTATTGAGAGTCTGATCTTGCTGATTTTGCTACCTTGCCTAAAAATGCCTGAAGATGAGGATAAGGCATGTGATGGTGTCAACAGCCTGAGAAAAGGGTCACCTCTTCAACAAGAGACTCAACAAGAGCCAGACTGTCTACTCCTTGGGAAACCTGGTGTTACCTGCAGTTATACAGTAAATGTGACCTGTACAAAACCATTTAAGGAGAACTCTCTGCCATCAAAGGGGATGATGCTGAAATCCCCACCTGTTTACACAACCGTAGTAGGTGGCCTGTTGCAGTCTGCCCCAGGAGAGCTACTGAGGGTCGTTTTCTCCTACTTGGTCCATGTGCCATAAGCCACCTTGTCATTTCAGCTGAAGCCTCCAGGGACTGCATGCAGACCCTCCAGCAATTCCTGTGACCTCCCAGAATTCTGTACAGGGACTGCCCCGCACTGCCCAGCCAACGTGTACCTTCATGATGGGCACCCGTGTCAGGGAGTGGATGGTTACTGCTACAACGGCATCTGCCAGACCCACGAGCAACAGTGTGTCACACTCTGGGGACCAGGTACGTGGCCGCTTCCAGTTCTGTAAGGGACAGTGAAGGACGTATGCTCTATGTACATGAGTCTGTCCTGGCTCCTGAGGGTATTCCTCCATGTAGGCCCATTCTGCTCTGCAATGAGGTTCAAACTCTGAGACGGGAAGTCTGCTTCTGCAGGAGGCGTGGCCACGGTGACCCATCACCTGGGCATAATTCTCACAGTGCACAGTCACTCCCGTGAGCAGATGCGGCCTTGATCTAAAGTCCCATTAAGGTTCTAAAAATGCAGATTAAATCTTAGAGCCCTGCCTGTATATCTCTTTGGGGCTCCCCTCTGAAGTCAGATTCAGGGTCTCCTCGGGCAGCCTAGACACTGGAGTCTTACTCCTTAAAAGCCTCACTACCCCAGACCTCACTACCAGGGGTTCTCAATACCTAGGGACCTCACCCTACCCTGCAGGCCTCACTGTCCCGGGGGTTTATCACTCTAACCCTTATTACTAGGAGATCTTGCCACTGCAGGGAGGGCCTCATTACTGAGAAACTATTCTGGATCTACTTCATTTACAGCTCCTGGGATCCTGGCTAGGAATCCCACTGGGGATGTTTTCTGAGTGTGTTACACTTCTTTCTTTCCATTAAGTTTGGCTGAGTCCTCACTTGCAGCTAAGAGATGACCTCAGACCTGGCCAGCAAGGCCACTATGGTCAGCCAGACTCAGACCTCGAGTTAAGCCAGCTCTGGGGGAAACCAGAGACTCTCTATAAGGCTCTGGTTTCCAGAGGGATAAGGGGAAGTCAACCAGAGCAGAAAATGATGCCCAAACACTGAAGCCTGGCTTTAACTGCTGTGGGTACAACTCCCAAGCCTGGAGAGTTCTCAGTGCCAAGCAAAGATGCCCCCTCACTTGGAGCTTTCTGGGGAAGAAGAAAGTGTGGGCTGGTGGCTCCCGTAAGCGGATGTACCCAGGACAGGTAGAATAAAGAGTCCTGAAGCTCCCAGTCCTTCACACTTCCTCTTTCGAGTCTCAGTGCTGGCTCCCTCACCTGATACCCGTGAGATTCTTAAGACATAGGTAGGATACTGCCGTTACAGCGACACACACCAAGGGATGTTTGTTATACACGTGTCAAATGGCCATAGGACTCTGAATGGGTTAGAGAGTTCAGATACCCTGTAGCCAACCAAGGTCAGTTTAGGACACGGGTTTAGTGCAGCAGGCCTCAGACACCTCTGGTGGCCCTTCCGCTCTCCCAGCTCTTCTACCGGCAGGAAGCTCCCATAAAATTACAGTGGCTCTTCTGTTGCTCCCTTTATGGGAGCTGGCTTTGGCCTGTGGAGCTTTTCAGTGCCCAGCTGTGCTATGAGACCTGGCCCCAGCTCCGGCATGAGCTCAGATGGAACAGCACAGCATTCCCCAGACCATTGTGCTGTGTGGCTCTGCTGGCTGTCATGGTGACCAAAGCAGGTATTTATCCGTGGGAAATAAAAGGAGGGGGAGACAGACACACAGAGATTGAGATCCATGAGATCTGATGTCAGTAAAGTACTAATCATGGGTATTTATCAGGGAAGCATGAGGACAAAGTCCTGATCCATTTTTACATAAGTCTATGTTTTTACATAAGTCTATGTAAACAGCCGAGCAGGGCAGCACAAGCTTGTAATCCCAGCTCCAGGGACATAGAGACAGCGGATCCCTGGGGCTTGCCCTAGCCAGCCTATCCAGTCACCGAGCCCCTATAGGACAGAGAACCTGTCTCAAAAATGAGGTCGAGAAGTGACAGAGAAAGATAGCCAACGTTGACCTCTGCCATCACATGCATATTCAAGGGGCAGGGCCAGGGAATGGGGACAGAGTTGTGTGCTCACTAGACATGCAGAAGCCAGCCTGACTGATAAATGGGCTTCTCGGAAGCAAGAGCATCCACCTTCTTTGAAGGCCCCCCATCTTGGTAGCTGAAACTGAGGTCTGATAGCATTATAATCTGCACACTGTCCTGAAGAAGGGGCATTTCTCCCAAGAGCCACACACACACACACTTAGTTCTTCTCTCTCCTGCCCACCTCCTCCCTAGTGCCTGGGATGGGTGGAATGGTTCTTTGCACTAGGTGCTAAGAAAATCAGGGAGTCCAGGTCTGGGGAACCACCTCAGGCAGTGACTTCATGGGTTTCAATGTGCCCCCACCAGACCTTTCTCAACACAGTTCGTAAAAGAACATCCTCAGCAGAGAGGGGACAGGCAGGGCCTCTGGCTGACTGAGACCATGACTTCTTTGCCACCCCTCGCATTACGTCATGGCCCTTCCCCTCCATACCAGTGAGACTGTCTGGCTTTCCAGTTGATGACACTTTGAGAGTCACCTGTGGTCAGGGCCTTAGCAACTCGTGACAGGAAAAGTCACAGCTTCCATTTCTGGAGACCAGAGTCCTCAGATCCAGGTGGTGGGAGGACATAGCACATCTAGAAATTTGGGGGGGGGGAATGTTATCTCGCTGGCTTTTCCAGCTTTCCAAGGTTACCAATGTTCTTGACTCCCCACCCCTCCTTCGTCAAGGCCAGCCGTGCAGCTGTCTGTCCGGCTCCTCTGGCCTCAGCTTCTGTAGTCTTCTGGCTCTGCCCCTCCTGTTTCCCTTGCAAGTACCCACATGACTGTATTAGGCCCACCCAGGTCTCCATCTTTACCTCTTCCCATCTCAAGATCTCTAAATGAATGTCTGCAAAGTCCCTTTCGTCCTGTCAGGTAACACACTGCTGGGGTCCAGGCTGGAGAGAATGGGCTGGTGTTGAACACTGAGGCTGAACCACTCTCTATTCCTTCAGAAAATTTCTGACCCTTCTTGGATCCCAGCTGTGAAGTGGAATGACTATCCTACCTACCCATGCACATAACATCCCTGACTGTAGTCCACGCTCTGTTCTGTCTACTAGAATGCACGTACCAACAGTCCTGCTGCTTGGCACCTGGTAAATCTAAACCTTAGTCAATGCAATGTGAGTGTGTTCTCAAGAGATGCTCAAGACTTTGTAGAAAGACGAGAGGCGATGGAGACAGGAAATCCGCCTGGATTGAGGGTAGCGAGCAGCCAGGTTGAAGGAGTCTGAGAGATACTGCCCAGCGGTCATCATCCGGAAGAGGTGGTGTTTCTAGCATCCAGGATTGGGTAGAGGGTACAACGGGGTGGCAGGGCCAAGGCAGGAAGTGCAGCTAGTTCTGTTTGTGTAGAGCTGTGACTTGGACGGCAGCAGAGACCCTCATCTGTCGTTCATTCTCTCATTTGTTAAGTATTTGCTGACGTCCTGCTGGGTAGGCGATGCTGACTCAAGAGCCTGCTTGTGCCAGAGGAATGCACCGCCTGTTCCCTGCATGCTTTTCTCGGGATGTGACTCCCTCTGTCCCATCCTCCCTACAACTACCACTAAGCCCTTACCCTGCCCTGGGTGGATGTAGCCCGAGGGGCAGAGGTGACTTCCTGGGCTGGGGTCCTGGCCAGCCAGATGTGCTGGGCTGAGAGCCTTAGAGTGCTGCAGCGGTTGGTTCAAATGAACTTTCCATGGTTCAGGAAGGAAGCCTTTGTCCAGGATACATTTGCGGTGTCTCATCTTCCCACTCAACAGCAAGAGCCCAGATCTAGACCATGTTGTGTAAGGGTCATAGACGACCTCCAGGGAATGGGGTCACTCAGAACTCTAGGGCTCCTTGAGTCATTGCTTGGATGGCTGTGCCTTTCATACCCAGTGACCTAGCCAAGTTGTTGAGTCACATCGAATTCTCCAGTTACATCCAGGGTGTCTGTTACTCACGCCTCGGAGCTGGCTATCCAAAGCTGACCGGATAAAGCCCTTCCTTCCAGCTAGCTATTCCCTTCTGAGGTGGGCCTTTCTCAGTCCAGCATTAGATTCCAATAAAATCCTCCTGCTTCCAAGTCTCCCTAGAAATAAAGGCAGAGAAGATTCAAAGCATGTGCCTGCACCTCCTAAGTGGCAGCGGGACAAACTTTCAGAAGACCTCTGTGGGATTTGTTCATTTGTTTGTTTGTTTGTTTGTTTTGATCTAATTATTATTAGTAGTATTGTTGAAGCTCTCCCTGTTGGCTGGGAAAGTTTTCTTTTCCGACCTGATTTTCTACCACATCTCGCGGTTAGCGTGTGCAAGTTGGGGCCAGGACTTGACATCAAGTGTCATCCTCAGCCACTCCCCACCTTATTTTCTGAGACAGAGTAGCTCAAGAACCTGAATGCTGGCTTGGCTGGACTGGCAGTCAGGGAGTTCCAGGGATCCTCCTGTCTCGACTTTCCATTGCTGGGATCACAGGCATGTTCCGCCAGGCCAAGTTTTTTCCGTGGGTGCTGGGGATCGGAACTCAGGTCCTCACGCCAGAATAGCCAATACTTCGCCCATTGAGCTGTCTGTCTCCCTAGCTCACTGTCTCAAGATTTTAGATGTTGGCATCCCAGACATAACATTATCTGCAGTTCAAATGGGTACTGAGCTTCTTATTCCAGTTCAGTCTTAATATTCGGGAAGCTTTTCCGTTGCCATGGCATGACCTTTATTCCTGCTAAAATACAGCCAGGGTTTTTCCTCAGGCTGAAGATTGCCTTTCAAGCAGTGCTGCCTGCCAGAGCCACTAGCCTAGTGATGGAGACAATTAGACTGTTAACATCATAGGTATGTTACATGATCACCGCAGGCCAAAAGTCACTGATTTTTCCCTTGGAGGGGCCCCCAAACTTGCCGTAAGTGTCCATCTCGTCAGTCACCAGATGCTACAGTCATCGATTTATGCCACATCAGCTGACCAGATAAGTTTTATGGGATCGTAAATATCCAGTGTTTATCTACAAGGCTGGTTTAAATGAGCCCGATTAACTTGAAATCCACTTCAGGGCCTTGCATGTACTGATGGCCTACTGTAACTGACGGTTGCCGAGTGGAAGAAAGGATATTTTGCCAAGAGGCCTATTGTTGGGGAACCAGGAAAGCCTTGTTCCATCGTGTGAGAAGGAAATGATGGCATTTGTTCATTTGGGCTTCATTCCCTGGAAAAGGCAAAGGTGACGTGGAGAGAACGGAAGGGGCAGATGCTACCTGCTTATGTCAGTGCCTTTGTCTGTGGGTTTAAGTGACAGGAGTTGACAGAGAGAGAGGAGCGGACTGGCCCGGACTAGAGCAGCGTGTTTGCAGATGAAGATCGTCTCAAGGAGAGGCTCAGAATGAGTAAACTTGGGGCTTCATTCAAGGCGCTGTCATCTTCACTTCCTCTTCAGAGGACACCATGACATTGAGAACTTCCAGACCCAGTTACAAGTGTGAGCCACTGTGCTCAAAGCCAAAAGTGGCGATTAAAATGCAGAGCAGCGTCAAGACTCCCTCCGAAAGGCTCGGCTTTATCTCCCGCTAGTGGCCAAGCACTGAGCGTTCCCTTATTAAGAACTCAAAGGCTTTAATTGATGTAGCACTGGAGCGATAAGAAAGCTGTTGCCGTTCTGCCCACGAGAGAGAGAGAGATGCAGTCTCTCACCTTCAAGAAAACACACAGTGCAGAGTTTTTAAGCACAGTGACTTTAAGCCTGCATCCCTGCCTTTGCCATGCCTTACATGCCAAGATCTTTCAAATTCTTCGCCATTCTGCCTCAGAGACAAGCACCAGCTGGCAGCTGGCATACAAAAGCCATACCAAACACTAGCGTGTCACTCTCCTTATGGACTCAGTGAGAGGCTGAGAGTGTCAGCTCAGAAGGTCGTCTGTGATTTGGTTTCCTTTTTATCCCTTTCTCTTGATGATGGATCCTTTGAATGTCAAGATGTGCCCCATTTAGAATCCCTCTGCCCCGCTTCTGAGGTTTCGGACTTGAACTTCACCTCTGAGAGAACAGCAGTTTCTTTCCCAAAAGCAAATCCTGTCTTCATACATGCAGCTTTACGCGGAGCGACATGACAGCGTTTCATCTGATGCCAGGGAGCAGGTGAAAATCCACAGCTGCACAAGAGAACCCTGGGGAGAAGTGTCCACGGCCCTGGTGCTTCATTTGCTGAGCACAAATGGCGGTCTCTGGGAGTGTTGGAGATAGGAGGCTGGCCCACTGGCCTTATGCTCATTTCTTCATGAAAATCTGCTCTTTGCAGTCAGTAGGCAATATAGTAAATACAAGGGAGACTCATGAGAGAAAGAGGAACATGAGCAAGGATTATGCCCAGCCAGCTCCATGAGAAGGGAGAAGCAGAAGAAGGCCCTGAGGGACCCAGAAGCTCTAGATCCATTTAGACCAGTATTGACCCTATCCTGTGAGATAGATTGCTCTGGCCAGAAAGGAGTCTTAAAGTCCATCCCTCTGGCACTGCATGCGAAAGTCAGCACTTCCCTGACCATGTAAATGGTACTCCTTTAAGAAAAACATAATGTTCCCGGAAGTAGGAGTATAGTAGATACACGAGGCACAACCGTCAAACAATCTCATGTCTTCTACACTGCGACTTATTATCAATAAAGCAGATTTCACTTCAGATCATCAGAGGAAACCAACCCCTCTGTACTGGCTCTCCTATAAAGGGAGTTACTCCATGGGAGGGTGTGGCTGCTGAGCTGCACTGGAGGGAACAATGCTAAAAAGTGCCCATGAGCTCTAGCTGGGGACATATTGGTCCCAGAAAGCAGCCTTGCAAGTTGGAGGTAGTCAGATGAGGCATGAGAACTGGACTAAGTTTCAACCGTTCACATCATTGTAAGTTTGATTCAACTTAATCTTTAGCCTTGAAATCCCTGTTTCATTCCCCAAAGACTCTATAGTAGAAAACATTAGACAATGGGATGAGGACCAGCATTTCACGTGGAGCTCTGTTCATTCCTTCCTGCCTTCCTGTCCCACCCCCATCATTCAGTTAAAAGAGCAGCTTCGGGGTGTTGATGGGAACTGCCAGTCTGGGACTGCTGGAGGATGGAGAAGGGAAAACATCATTCTGTGCTCTCCACAGACAGGAACACAGAAAAGGTACAGGGTGTGCTAGAGACATCGTCTGGGCCATGGTCAGGTGCCTCTTGTCTCCCAGTTTACAGTAGCAGAGGAAGTCATGGCCCTGCCCTCTTCCATGTGTCCATTTCCTTTGCCTCATCACAAGTCACTGCTAAGGTCACTGACAGAGACATCCTGCTTACGCATGTGTCAGCAGCAACCTGTGACACAGAGCCTCCTGCTCCCTCAGCGCTTCCTGGTAGAGACACAAAGTTAATCTCAGGGGTCTGTATTGTTCAGGCTGCTGGGGAGAAAACTATATTGGCCAAATTAATTGAAACTTGTTATCTTAGAAACTGACATCTCTTTACAAGTCATTTGGGAGGGGGTGGCATGTCTGTGTGTTCATATGCAGGTTTTTTTTGTGCATGTGGGCAAGATATCTCATGTCATCCCCAGTCTTTATTTTCTGAGATAAACTCTTGCTAAACCTGGAACTCAGCAGCTTAGTTAGACTTAATGGCCAGCAGGTTGTAGGCATCCTCCTGTCTCTACCTCCTCAGCAGTGAAATCAGAGGTGCGTACCTGGCTTTGTACAGGGATGCTGAGGATCTGAACCCAGCTCCTGAAAATCACTTTACCAATCCAGCCGTCTATCCAGTCCCTCTCTAAACGTCATCTTTGGGGATTTGTTTTTGTCTTTCTTAGGAAGAGAAGGGTCAACAAAAAGGCGTAAACCTACCTAGTGCCTCTCTGTACTGTCTTTCCGCTGGAGGAAAATCCCTCTAGACACACACAGACTCTATGTGGGTATTGCCCAGTGGTCAGTATCTAAGAAAGAAGCAGGGAGCAGCCAGCATCATAGGCAATCAAGCTGTTCTTCAGAAAAGGGCTGGTGGACACAGACTCAAGCGAAGGAGATGAGACTCTATATGGGAGAAAGGGAAGGTGATGCTCAGAGACCAAGTGGTCTCTACACAGCATTAGTTCCGGTTGGGGCTGGTGTGCCTTAGCCAGGAGCTCCAGGAGACCTGTCTAAAATGCTTACGAGGAGTAAAGAAAGGAACGTGCCAGGTATGGTGGCACACACCTTTAGGTCCAGCACTTGGGAGGCAAGGGCAGGTGGATGTCTGTGAGTTCAAAGGTAACCCAGTCTACATGATGAGTTCCAGGAGGACCTACATAGTGAGACCCTGTTTCAAAAGAAACAAACAAGCAAGCAAAGAGGAAGCAGAGGGTCTGGAATGGGATGACTAGTCCAGAGGTCTAGAGCAGGCACAGGCCTATCTCACATGGAAAGAGGGTGACAATGGCGAGCAGTGTGCTTTTGCTATTGAACAAGGCACCCATTTCTGCTAGGAGCTGATAAGGGAGCAGCACAGGTTAAAGAACAATAGGTACCCTTGCAGAGGAGGGAGGGAGTCCTGGCCTAGGACCAAATCTGATTGGACTCTTGATTGCATTGTCACCTTGGAATGCCAACAGAGACTCCCTGGAGCTGGGAGCAGAGAATAGGGCAGGCCGGGACTTTGGGAAGTCACCTCCTAGTCATTGAAAGTGCTGTGAAGGGAAATATCCAAACCAGATGCTGGAAGGGGAGACAGGCCAAAAGCACATGGCCAGGCTTGGTTTGGCCTGCCCCATTCCTCTGACGCCCTCACTGTTACCAACAGATACCTTTGAGGCTGCCGTATAAGAGCCCTCCAAAGCTTTCTCCTGTAGCTCTCAATTCCTTTATTCTCTTTCCCTGGCAAGAAGAGGTGGTCTTAAGAGGGGTCACTCCATGACCCACAACCATCAGGGCATATCCTGCTGTGTACCCTGACTATTGGCTCAGAGAACAGAGAACAATCTACGCAGAAATGACGGTTCCCTGAAGATGGTGCTTACTCTTGGAGCTCTCTAGGACTGAAAACAAAAGATTTCTGCATCCCTCTCACTCTCCCTCCTCCCACCTTCCCATTCCCCCCCAGTGCGCGCGCGCGCGCGCGCGCACACACACACACACACACACACACATTAGCCATCTCTACTCCTTGGAGCCTGCCTAGCTTGTCTTTTCTCACCGGAATTGAGTGGGATGTCGCTACAGAGAGTAGCTTCCCCTTGTCTGCAGCCAGCCGGCCAGCCAACTCCTTCCTGCTCCTGACCAGATCCGATTACACAGTCCAGCCTAATCTCTTGAGAGTCTGCGCATGCCTTGGGTCCCAAATCGAAGCCTACAGCACAACACAGAAAAATGAGTGGGCTGAGCCAGGAAAGGATGCCAGCTGTAGGTCCTCCAGGTTGGCAGCAGCCCCCTCCTGAGCCATCTGGGTACCGCGTGCCACTTCTCCACACATGGAATACCCTTCCCCTTATCCCCAAAGCCCAGTGCTGCTCAGAGGAAGTCAGAAGCAGCAACGAGGAAGGTGCCGTTGTTCTTCTGTTCCAGGTGCTAAACCAGCCCCTGGCATCTGCTTCGAGAGAGTGAACTCCGCAGGGGATCCTTATGGCAACTGTGGCAAAGACTCCAAGAGCGCCTTCGTCAAATGCGAGATGAGGTATGAGGCCACATTCCCTGCCACGGTGGCGCTGAGCCCATACACATGGCAGAGGCCACCCCACACCGCCCCTGTTCTGAGCTTGTGTATTCTTACCCTTCCAGAGATGCCAAGTGTGGAAAAATCCAGTGTCAAGGTGGCGCCAGTCGACCAGTCATTGGTACCAATGCCGTTTCCATAGAAACAAATATCCCACAGCAGGAAGGAGGTCGGATTCTGTGCCGGGGGACCCATGTGTACTTGGGCGATGACATGCCAGACCCAGGGCTTGTGCTTTCAGGAACAAAGTGTGCAGAAGGAAAAGTAAGAACCCAGTTCTCACTTGCATCCTAATGTAAGTCTGGAACACAGCCACGGAAGAGCCTGCTTAGGAACTGGGGGAGGGGACCAGTTGATCTTCCTAAAGCTCCTCAGAATATGGTCTCTGGAATCCAACTCTTTGTACCTAAAAGAAAAAAGTCAGCCATGCTGAAGTCCCAGTCTGACCTTTGAGACACGAGTTAGGAGACCTGGGGTTTGTTTTCTCCCTTTAGGGGAAAGTATTTCTTCCCCCTGGGCCTCAGGGGGGACCTCCTGCCAGGAAGTGACCTCAGAAAGAAATACGGCAGTGGAGCATCTTGCTTTGGGGAAGTGGCAGAGCTCCTTGGGGGCCTGTTCTCGCCTGGGCAAAGTGGGAAGTCAGCGGCATCTTCAGAGACTCTGTAGCGAAAGGAGGGGCACAGAGTGGGGGTCAGCTGAGAGATGGAAGGGGGTCCTTTGGGAGAACAGGGAGGAGGAAGGCTGAGATGCTTTTGGAGTTAAAAACAAAACCAAAAATTTTGAAGAAGCAGGATTTTTGAGTTCAGCCACACTGGTTTATATATGGGCATGTGTGCAGATATGAGTGTGGGTGGCTGAGCACTGCTGACAGAGGCAACCATTTCCAACTAGCCAAGGCCATGCAGCAAATAGAAGCCTCTACCGTGCCTAGATAAACAGTGCCCTGGGGAGCATCCCTGTGGATTCTTTGTGTCACTAGTGACCCCCAAAGCCCTACGCAAAACTCATAAGAAAATCAGTTATAAGTTCTCACTTCCACTGAAACCATCTTCTCGATATAAAAGAGCTCAATCAATACTGTTCACATTGGACAAGTGTTGAATCCTACCCCGATAGCCATATCTGCGGTAAACAACACAAGTTGTTATGCTCCATCCATGCTCACGAAAATGAGAGCCTTCTCCAAGTTTTCATGCTTTCTCTTTCATGTTATATATGGAGGGTATGTCCATGTTTGTCTGTGACCTGGGGAAGCCGGAGGTCAACTCTGATCTCTTGTCTAGTGACGGCCACTTGTTTTTTGAACAGTCTCTCACTGGAACCCAGGGCTGCTAGTTAGGACGTCCAGCAAGCTCCAGAGATTCACCTTTCTCCACCAGCACACACGGCCATGCTCGGGTTTCTGTTTCCGTTTCTGTTTTTACATGGGCTCTGGGGATTGAACTCTGGTCCTTAGGTTTGCACAGCAAATATGTTGCCAACAGAGCCATCTGTCAAGACCCCCTGCTTTCTCGGTTTCGTGTGCCTGTGTAAGGGTGGGGAGCAGAGGTACTGAGGCATGTGCTGTGTTCTCCCACAGATCTGCCTCAATCGTCGATGTCAGAATGTCAGCATCTTCGGGGTTCACAAGTGTGCCATGCAGTGCCATGGCCGAGGGGTAAGTAGGATTTGCCACCTCCACTCAGCCAGCCCACAGCACTAATCGTTTGCAGCTTTTCTGATGGATTTATTTTATATGCATGAATGTTTTGCCTGAGAGAGAGAGAGAGAGAGAGAGAGAGAGAGAGAGAGAGAGCGAGAGCGAGAGCGAGAGCGAGCGCGCACTGGTGCCTACAAAGGCCAAAGAGAGGGTCAGAGTCCCCAGACCTAGAGTTACAGATTGTGAGCCACCATGTGATGCTAGGACCAAACCCAGGTCCTCTGCAAGAGCATCAAGTGCTCTTAACCACTGAGCCATCTCTCCAGCCCCTCCAACATCTCTCCTGTAGCTTTGTAAAAGTTATAGTAGACAGTGAGCACCTCCTCAACATTTTCTTCCAGAGGCGTTAACTGGCTCTGACCTTTACATAGCAGGAGAAATGTCACTTTCATTTAACAAAGAAAATCAGATTGAGAGGTAATTATCTTTTGAATTAACATTCTGTGATATAAAGAAAGAATTTTGTCATCTTCAAAGTAATTTCGAAGCTAACCTTGCTTCACGAAGGGCTCGCATTAGCATTTCAAGCAGGGCTGTCCCTCTTGCTCCCAACAGCCCAAATATGTTTCAACCAAGATGCTTGCAAAAGGGATTAAAATGAGGACATCAGATCTACCGAGCACGTGTTCTTGAATGCCCTTGCCATGGGTTTTGACTACCACATGCCGCTGAGTTCTGAGAAGCTTTAGGGAAGAAAAGGACTCTAATTGTTTAAAACGCAATTTCGTTTTCCTGATGCAGTTCATTTTTTTTCCAATGGGATTATATTAATCTTGATTAGTTGCACCAGTGGCTCATTTGTCCTCCTGGAGCTTTTCTACAGAAACCAGACTCTCAATTGTATTTTTAGACTATCTAGACACTTGGGATTATGGAGGTCTTTGCAAAATCACCACCATGCTGTAACCATAACAGATTGCCGGGCTGCCTCAGACAGGCGCACTGATGTTCTGTTCAGCGGACTCAGTATCAAACGGAATCTCTTCATGTCTTCATTGGATTATAGATTCCTCTCTAATGGCAAGAGATGAACAAGCCTGGCCCTTTTGTTTTCGCGACGATGCCAAGGCCAGTGTGATAGTGAGGAAGTGTCGATAGTTACCTTGCTGGCTCAGAAAAAGTAGGGCAGAGGTTTCTCTTTGTGATACCTATGGGGACATGCTGATTTGGAATAGCCAGCTACGACTCTGTGTGGTAGTTCATCTCAGTTGTGAACTTTGTGAGATCTAGAGTCACTTGGAAGATGGACCTATGGGCATACCTGTGGAAGATTACCTTCCTAGGTTAATTGAGGTGGAAACCATGCCCAGTGTGGGTAGCATCATTCCCTGGGCTGGGATTCTAGACTATATAAAAAGGAGAAAGTGAGCTGCACACAGAATTCATGGCTCTCAAATTCTTGACTCTGCACATGATGTGAGCATCTGTTTCAAGCTCCTGTCTCCATGACTCCCATCCATGGTGCACTTGGGACTGTGAGCCAAAATTAACTCTTTAAGTTTATTATTTCAGGGTATTTTATTACAGCATCCAAAAGAAACTAAGACATTTTACTACAGGTAGCTGACCCAATCCCTCTATGATGAGACCAGGCTCACCTCATTCCAAGTGGGGAATCTGGACTGCAAATTCCTGCCTCAAGCTAAGATCACCCACACCAGGCAGGGTGTGAGTCTCTTGGGTGGTCTGCAGCACCTTTGCCAGGTATCGAGGATGTACCACAGACACTAGAGAGCAGTCTGTCCCACTCACTCCCGACCAGCCCAGTTTATGGTGGATATACAACCCTGCCATGTGAGCCTTGCCTCATCACTAAAACAAAAGAATTGCGTTAATCCATCCCTTACAACCCTTAGAAAGAACTCTGCAACTCAGTGGCCACAGGTGCTCTGCAAAAGAAAGAACCCTGTTTAACAGGAGTGTCCTAGAAAACATCCCTGCTTCCCGTGGGCTCCATTGACTGTCTCCACAGAGGAAGCAACTGGACAAGTGCTTGGATCCTTCACAGAAGCCAGTCAGAGCAGGGAACCATTACAAGCAAGACACAGGCTGCAAATGTTTTGTTTGCCTTCAAATACTCAGGCATATTTGACCCCAGTGTTTTTATACAGGCCCTAGAGTTGTTTACCAGTTCCACTGACTTCCACACAACAAGCGAGCCACCCAGAAATTCATCGCCTGTAATTTGCAGTGTTTAGATGGAAGGGAAATACAGATACCAGACAGTCATCTGGGCTCGCAGTCCTTGATCTGGGCAGCTCTCCCCAGTCATCCTACCACTGTCCTGCCTCTCCCTAAACTGTCAGGTGGACTTTTGTTCAATGCTCCCAAAGCTTAGCCTCCTTTTCAGAAGCTTGTAGCTCAGTTGGTGGAGTGTTTACTGAGCATGTGTAAAGCTCTGAGTTTGATCTCCAACACCTCATAAACTAGGGATGGTGAGGCACACCTAGAATCTCTCAGCACTCAGAAGGTGGAGGCAGGAGACTCAGAGAGAAATTCGAAGCCACTCAAAAATCTTCCGTTTTTCACATTCAAGATCAATTGGTTTATATCCAGTTTGGTGAGCTATGTAAACATCAACAGTGGATCCAAGCAGAGGAACCACTGTGGGTGACCCTTGGCGAGTAGATGAACAGACTTCTGAGTCCTTCCACTGGAGCTCTGGTCTCCCATCAGAGTGCATTATCTGGGACCAACAAGGGCAAAGGCACCCTTTCCTGCCATCTTCTTCGCAAGGAACACTTCCACTGTCTTTGCCTATCATATATTGTGACAGGGAGCCAGGTAATGGCCACAAGGGGCTGAGAGAAAGAACGGGCATTTGGGAACAACAGCGGACTCCCAGGAATGTTGCCAGACCCCTGCACACTTCCATGGGCATCAGAAATAAGAGGTCCAGCTGCAGACCTACTTCCCTACCCCAGACTGCTGGATCCTCCCTGAGCCTCCCAGAGAAGACAGATTTATGCATGGTCTTCTGATTCTGTGTCCCTAAGTGGGTTCCCCTAACCACCGAGAAGGGCAGCTCCACAACTTTCCTGGGGAAACCAGGAAAGGGGAGCCGGCTGTCAACAGCAGCTCCTGAGCAGAGGCAGGCTGTGCCGTTCTCCTCTCCACTGGTGCGATGCTGTCTCTTGGTCTCGCATTTACTGAGTCTACATGTGTTGCTGAGGGGATCTGGCAGAGTACCCTGGTCTTGTGTGTTCTGACCCTGTCCCCTCTGGATGTTTTTCTCCCCTTCTGCCCCAAAGGTGTGTAACAACAGGAAGAACTGCCACTGTGAGGCCCACTGGGCCCCTCCTTTCTGTGACAAGTTTGGTTTTGGAGGAAGCACAGATAGTGGACCCATCCGGCAGGCAGGTGAGTGGAGCCTCGGCATCGCTGGGAGGGGATGCTGAGCTGCTTAAGGCCCGTGGGTACTGGGCAGGCGTCCCCACAATAGGACTCTGGGTGCCTCTGGCCCAGCCTGAACCTTTCAGGTTCTAAATGCTGGCTCCCCCTCAATGCAGGTAAGGCATTGTGTTGGCCATTTTCTCTCCCTGTGGCACTTTTCCCAGCTAAGGCAATGGCCACAGTGCACTACCAAATGCGTATGAATGTCACTGGCATATCGAAGGATTTTGTAAAGGGTTGCTTTTGTGTGCTGCCACCCAGAGCATTTTAAAACTCTGAACAGAGGAGTGATAGCAGGGGGGGGGGAGGAGAACAAACAAGAACAGCAAAAGTATGACAGCTACCTCTTAATAAAGAGAATGGTCACCACTAGAGAAGGCTCAGCTGCTACGGTGCCAGCCACTTATACTTGAGTGTGGATCCACAGAACCCACAGGAGAAGTTGAGCGTGATAGTGCATGTTTGTAATCCCAGCATTGGAGAAGCAGAGATAAGAAAATCCCTGAGAGGGCTAAGGTTGGAGCCTACTCAATTGGGTGTTTATCTAGGGTGCATGAGGCCCTAGCTCAGTGGGTCACAACCCTTTGGGCTTGAGTGACCCTTTCATGGAGCTCACCTAAGAACATCTGCAATTCCTAGTGCTTGACCTGGCTCTTTGGAGCCCATTCCCTATGGAGGGATACCTTCCTCAGCCTAGATACAGTGGGGAGGGCCTTGGTCCTGCCTCAGATGATGTGACAGCCTTTGTTGACTCTCTCTAAGGAGTAGATGGGAGTAGGGGGAGCAGGAGGAAGGCAAGGAGAGGGAACTGGAATTGCTATGTAAAATAAGATTGTTTTAAAAATAAAAAAAGAACATCTGTAGATCAGATATTTACATTATGATTCATAACAATAGCAAATTAGTTATGAAGCAGTGAAAATAATTTTATGGCTGGGGGTCGCCACAATATGAGGAACTGTAGTAAGGAGGTGTAGCCTTGGGAAGGTTGAGAACCACTGCTCTAAATTTAATCCCCAGAATGACATAGCTGTCATCCTAGCAGTGGGAATATAGAGAGCCAGGAGGATCAGGAGTTCAAGGCTATCCTAGGCTACATAGCAAATTCCAGGCCATCCTGGACTCTATGAGACCCTGTCTCAGAAAAGAGTCATCTATAGAGAGATTGCAAATACAGAGAACTGACTGTGCCAAGGCCTGGGGACAGGGTGAGGCAGGACAGGATAACAGTCACAACTCCCAGGATACAGATTGGACAGTAGAGTCATGATACTTCCTGGAACACTGGCTGGACAGCTCAGCAGATGGCATTGCTATCTATGGCAACAGGCAATCCTGATGCCACTTAGGGTCTGGCAGGACTTTGATTGGGTCACTTTAAGATGTAAGGTTGATGCAAGGGATTGAAAATTCCCTTTTGAGGTTCTTGCTGGTCATTTTTTACTTAGATGAGGCCACAGAGTTTAGCTGAAGCTCAGGGCTGCAACTAAGCCTAGGAAGAATGCCAGTTGACAAGAGCCCAGCAACGGTACCCTTCCAGTCATGCAGATGGCTGGAGGAAGACAGTACTGGTAGACCCCATAGGACTCATTGGTTGAGGACAAAGTACAGAACAAGGTGGGTGCCAAGACATTGTGCCCAGAGCTGAGGCAGCTGCTACTTGGATTAGCAGTAACTGAGTGCTGAAGGGAGACAGGAAGAGGGTAAATCTGGCTCCCCAGCAGTCTACACGGACTGTTGAACACCTAGGGTATGCAACTCGACCTGAACATCCCTGGTTGACATACAGGCTAGTTAAGGGCTCCCTGTTCCCCAGGACTTCACCATTCTGATGAGCTTCCAAGGAAGCCTCCTGTGAGTCCTAGCACCTCCCGGATTACCTCTGCCTATCACTGCAGTCAGGAGGTAGCCTGATGGATTACGTGTTCTCCTACCCACATGTGCTAAATAAAATGGCATCAAATTACAAAAGGAAAAAAATACTATTTTTTTTTTAATCTCAAACTAGCTTGAAATTTGCTCTGTAGCCAAGATAGCCTGGAGCTACTAATCCTCCTGCCTCTACCTCCCAAGTGCTAGGATCACAGGTGTGTGCACCATCACATCTGGTTTGTGGGGTTCTGGGGATCAAACTTAGAGCTTCTTAAATGTTAGCTATACACTCTATGAACTGAGCTACGGGCCCAGTCTCAGCCCCACAGGTAAAATTTCATGAAGCATGCACGGGCATTCTCCCAACAATAAGGAGCTTGCCCCCAAAGGCAGTATTAAGTCCTTAACAGACAGAAACCAAATCCAGGGTAACTTCATTTAGGGTGCTGGTTTTTTTTTCTTTTCTCATTCTCTAATTTGAGATGCCCCAAGATGAAGTCTCTATCAAGAACAGATAAAGGGATGACAGATAAAAGTAAACTCCAACTTGAGTGTGAAAGCAGCCTAGAATCAAGGAGATGTGGGGAGGGGTCAAAGATGACCTTTGGGGAGCCCCCAATCCTGATAAGATGGTCCCCTGGTACTTTGTGTAGCTCCAGGGCCCACTCTGCCTAGGGGAATCTGTGTGGCCCAGCCAGGGTCCCACCTACCAGACCATGTCCCTGCACTAGCAAGTTCTCAGCTGTCACAGATGAGTAATGGTGGCATGGACCAGAACTCCAGCACGACCTTTGAAGAGAGACTAATTTATTAGGATGTCGTTCAGGGATTTACGTGCAGTGGTTCTGTTTGTTCCTTTAGAGCTTGCTCTGCCATAAATGTCACAGTGCGATGTCTTCTGTATTTTATTGGAACGGCCCCCTCCCCTGAGCCAAATGTGTTTTGTTTCAGATAACCAGGGCTTGACTGTAGGGATCCTGGTGAGCATCCTGTGTCTGCTGGCCGCTGGATGTGTGGTGTATCTCAAAAGGAAGACCTTGATGCGGCTGCTGTTCACACATAAAAAAACCACCATAGAAAAGCTGAGGTATGTCCTCTCAAGACATGATGGCTTCTCGCCACGTCACCCTCGGCCAGGGAGGGAGGCAGATTTTCTGGATAGTAACACTAGGTCTTTGGGTTGATTTGGTTTGTTTGGCTTTTGTAAATGTCTGCCAGGCCAGCTGTCTCTTTGACTCTCCCTTCAAACCCTGTGCTGTCCATTACGTAAATAAGCAGGGTGCTGGTGAATTCCACGGATGGGTCTGCTCTCATCTTTGCGTTAGCATTAACAAGGCATGTGGACCATGGAATGTGTTCCTCAGATGGCAGGGCTTGGGGCCCCAATGTGCTGGGAGACTATTGCTGAAAGGCCAGATTCATGAGAAACAGCCCCTGTGTGCCCAAAGCAAAGTCTCTATGATCTTCGGTTAGCTAGTTTGATAGGCCAGTGGCCGGAGAGCAGAGGTTAGCATTCATGTTCAACTCATAGGCATGTTTTTGTCCCCTGCATGATTGGCCATGGAGATATATAAATATATAGATATAGACAGACACATATCAGCAGGAACAGGATATGAGGAATTATAGCAAGGAGGAGGACAAACCCTTGCTTAGCAAATGTTGGGTTGCCTTACAGGTGTGTACACCCTTCTCGGACACCCAGTAGTTCTCACCTTGGCCAGGCTCACCCCACCCTCGGAAAAGGCCTGCTGATGAACCGGCCACCACATCCCAACACCCCCAAGGTAGGTCACACAAGGACATTTTGTCCTGTAAAGGCATGGAGTTTTATAGAACAAGGTTGCCTGGGAAAACAGGGCTCCATCATGCCTGTGAAATGCTTAGTCAGCACACTTGGTTCAGCCATACCTCACTGCCCCTGCAATGATCAGGGCCCAGAGGCAGGCCCCAGAGGAATCATCTGAGGTCCCTAAAAGGTTCTCATAAGGCAATCAAAGTCCCCATATTGTGTTGTATTTGGATACAAACCAAGTCAATCTCTACGGTGACCTAGACCTGCCAGGCTCTCAGCAGCCACACTGGGAATGCAGCCAGAGCAGACTCCTGTTTCCAGGGGTCACCAGCTGTGCCTAGGTGAGTTTTCTGGCCTGGATCTAAGTTCTGCTGACCTAAGTGTTGCCCAGGACTGTGGAATCCATGTTTATACTCCGTTCTTTTAAAAAGCTATACCCTTGTCCTTGGGTATCCAGTGGTTCCCCAATGCCTCAATGTTTTGCTTATCCACAAGAATTCTTAAATATTGAACTCCATCATGGTTTGGATGTGAGTTCAACACTGGCCTCTGGGTGGTGATGCCATTTGGTGATGTGGGGGAAACTTCAGGTAGTCGACTCTCCTGGAAGGAGGTCAATCCCAAGGCAGGAAGAGGGGATTTGAAGGCTGTACTGGTCCCCCATCACTTCCTCCCTTCCTTTACCTGTCCATCCAAAGGTTCTGCACACACTTCTATCCAGCTGTTCGACCTAAGGGTGTGGGGCCAGGCAACTGGGGACTGAACCTCTGAAGCCATTAATTAGCCTCACTAAACCTTCCTTCCAAGCCACTCATCCAGGCACTCTGTCATAGCAAAACAATGTCGGACTGAGGCCAACTCGGACAAACTGAAACAGGGAACAAGACAGGTGCTACGAAATGAGAAATAACTGAAAAGAATATTATCACCAATGCAGCAGGCAATACACTGTTTTACTTCTCTTGGTCTAAAGAGTAGAGGTTGGCCTTCTAAAAGGGAAGCCATGGCTCCCAGTAAATGTGCCTCCCTTCGTCTCCAAACCTGGACCCGCCAGCTACAAAGGTGTGTTTTATGGGAACCAAAAGCAAGATCTAAACACCGGAAATGACCCAGAGGTCTATCAGCAGGTGAAAGGATTAACAGTGGCATGTTACACAGCGGCTGCTACTCAGCAAGAAGAGAGTCAGCCACCCACTGGCATGACCTCAGGGGTAAAGCTCAAAGTAGCCATGCCCAGCCAGAGAACCCAGGCAGAAAAGGAGCACAGACTCCACGGTGCCATTTCTATGCAACTTTAAAACATAAAAACTCATTTAGAATGATACAAAGACGATGCCAAGGTCTGGGGGGAAAGGCGGGGTACGAAGGCAAAAGTGGCAAGGAAGCTCTTCTGGGTGATAGAGACTTTGTCATAATTGCTCTAATAGTCCCATGGGTATGAACATCAGTCAAGCCAGGCATAGTGGCCCATACCTATAATCCCAGTACAGGAAAAGCATCTTCGGTTCAAATCACATAAACATGGATAGGTTTAAAAAAAAAAAAAAAAAGAAAAAAGCTGAGTAAAGAAAAAAAAATCACTTAATTCAATTACCTGGGTATCATCCCTCAGTAAAGTTATTTATAAAAAGAAAGAATATGGGGTGCCAGGTCATGCTGCACCTGCTCTGGTCCTCCTTCCAAACCCGAGGGAAGCTTGTCCAGAGATGAGCACCTTGCCTCCGGGGCAGGTAGTTCTCGCATTACCCTTAGCGTGTGCACACTGAGCCCATGCCTTCTTCATGTTCTCGTGATCCAGTCTGTGTCTTCATACTTGGTACTTTGTTACTCAAACCAGCTTGAAGATTGATTGATTGATAGATCGATCGATCGATCGATCGAGGTAGAATCTTCTATTTAACAACACTAGCTTCAAATTCTCAGTCCTCCTACCTCAGCCTTCCAAATGCTACTGCCACCAGCTTGGTTCTTAATGTTTGTTTGCTTGTTTGTTTTAATCTATATAAAAATCATCTCTCCATTTCAGATGTAAGGGATGCTTCCTTTAGAATTTTGAGGTGTAAATAAATAAATACAGTCCTTCATATGGACACCGTGGACTTCCCCTCCCCACTGGTCGTAGACTAGGTAAGGCTGTTCTTTCCTCAGGGAATGAACTCCATCAGAACTGACTCTCTGCTTTGACCATGCAGGACAGGCCGTCACTGCAAAGCCAGAAGATTGACATCAGCAGGCCCCTCAACACTCGAGCCGTCCCTCATCCCCAGTCACCTCGGCGAGTGCTCCCACCTCTCCACCAGTCCCCACGCGCACCTAGCGGCCCTGCCAGGCCCCTGCCTGCCCATCCTGCACTCAGGCAGGCCCAGGTATGCCTCCCATGCTGACGGGGTGGGATGCAGTTCAAATCCAGGCGCTGCTAGTTGCTAACGTGTAAACTTGGACAAATTAACATACTGATTTATGAAATGGAATTCAGCTAATCAGATGGTTAACAGAGCTAATCCACATACAATGCCTACAGTAATTTTTAAAGTATTCAGAATTGTTTCCATGCCCATGCAATTTATCAGCTAAGCCAGGATTTAAACTTTTTCTACCGTGAAGGCTTTTCACCTGGAGGAATTTTCACCGGACTCTGGGTATATAGGTAAGAAATGATAGGAAAATATTAACAATCTGTATTTTCTCAATTAATTCTTTGTTCTGGGGGAGCAGAGAGCCTTCTGTGTACAACAGAAGCATGGCAATCCCTAACGCTCTTCAATCTGAGCCGAGGCGCTCTTGGCAGTGTTTGTCGGTGGTGTATGGTGTGATCTTTTGCATCGCATGTTCAAAACTGAGGCTGCATTGAAGTCATGGGCTGCGACACAGGCCAGCGCTGCCAGACCACCATAGGTTCAGTGCACATTTAGCTTTAAAATAGCTTCCGGTTGCTGCATGTTGAGTTAATGGCACACAGCTGAAGAAGCTGGGATTTCAAGTGAAATATTTTGAGACTAGTAATGGGTACTGTTGGCAACTCGAATAATGAAACAGAATCGTTTTTAAATGCTATTGTTATAGTTTCCTGTGGGATTATTTTTATATATGTATAATTACGTCTTTAGCATCATTGAGGTTATTCTCTGTGCACATAGCTTTACAGCCTGATTCTGCTGTAAAGCTGTTTCTATATACCTTGGCATTGCAGAGCCTATAAAGTGTTCTTTAAGCGGCATCATGCCGCTTGGATGTGGATTAGCTTTTGAAGAACCGGTGAGTTAGTGGATGTGGTTGATTGCTGTGACTTTTGCTTTATAAACAGCTCTCATTTGGAAAATCTAGACAGATGCATTTGGAGTTCCTTTAGGGAAGATTCAAGTGAAATATCAGATTGAAAACACAAATCTTCAAGTGGTCGGACAAAGTTAAATGTTTGGTTAGAGTATTGCATGCTCTCGTATTGGTACCAATGAGGTCATGAGAAAGACAAAGGTTGGTGTTTCAAAGCTTTGCTTATTTGATAGGTAAACTGCAACATCTTTTTCTGTCCGTCCAGCAGTTCAGTCTTCTCCTGAGAGGGGTACTGAAGTGTCCCTGAGCCATCAGTTTCTGTTTCGATTTAAACATTTCTTAGTATTTGAGGTTCATTTATCCAAAGTGTTGTCTCCTCTGCATTTTGAAATTTGGGGCTGGGTGTTGTATGGGATTTCCTTGGGCTTTTGTGGGAGGCTCAGCAGCACTGACCTCTCTCTCAATCGACAATTACACTTGTAATCATGTTTTCATTATTGCTGTCTCCTGAGGGTCAAAATTGGCCTTGATGGGGGAAAAAAAAAAACAGCTCTCTGAAAATGAATCCATCTTTATCCCAGTATTTGATTGCTTCAGGAGAAATGTAGAATTCCTAGCCTTTAGTTCTCACTGACCTCATTTTTAAATAGTGGATGACTTAAATCATGCCTTTGAAGTTAGAAAAATGCCTCAGAGGTTAAGAACATGTACTGCTTTTGCAGAGGACCTGGGCTCAATTTCCAGAACCCACATGACTTCTGCAGGCTTGCACATGGTGCACATACACTTGGACACATGTGTACATATATTTTAGGTGACCGTTATGGGCATCAAGAGCTACTTGGAATGGAATTTTTGCTTTCAGTCAAACAGATGTTTGTAAACCAATGAGAAGCTGATTATATGTGCTCATATATTGATCCTTTCAGCTCTTCCCCCTTCCTGATGTTCTGCATCCCATCATTTCTTTTCTGCCTGAAGGACTTCCGTTTGCTGTGTATCTTTTAAGCAAGCCTACTATTGTTGGCATATTACTAGCACCCTGTGTCTAAGGATGTCTTTTTCATCCATGAAAGATAGTTTTGCTGGGTATAGAATTTTGGGTTGACTTTGTTGGGGAGGGGGGTGGCGTCCTTCTATTCCATTTCATCTAGACTCTGCAGTGGTAAGAAATCTACCAAAAGTTCTGTGCACAGTCTCTGGTCCAGGAAAGAAATGTCACCAATCATTTGTGGGGGGTTGGGGTAGAGGGGGGATTCCTTTGGATTGAGCAGGAATAAAACCATATATAGTCAAAATAATCGTTTTTCTAGACACCCTTCTTCCCAGGCTTATCCCTACAGAGGAGAGACTTTCTTCAGTTTTTATTTCTTTGGTGCCATTTAGATATTTCCAGATTGTATATACTTATTTCTTGTTGCGTGCACACCTAGACCCACCGCTAGGTAGTTCCTTGAGTCTAGAGTTCACCAGGTAGTCTTTTTCTCTAATTTTCAATTTATATCAATTGCTTGATGATTTTTTATGCAAGTACTAAAAGGAATAAGGTAAGCTATGCTTATTCCATTTTGCCACAAACAAACTAGTTTATATCTAGCAGCTCTTTGACTCTCGGTTAATTTCTCTGTTCTAAACACTTGTATCCTTGTCAGTTTCGAGCTCTAAATGTGTTGCTGCTCAAGTCCAGAACTGCCATTGTGAGCTCCTATCAGTAAGCTCCGTGGCATGGCTCTAGCATTGTGCTCTGTGAATTATCTGTGGCTGTCCCTGGCTCTATTTTTTTTTAAACCTCACTGTTGAGTCTTCTTTGCAAATGTAAATAGTTTTTTTTAATAGAATTTCTGTACTTTATTGGAGTTCTAGCTTGACCTCTGGCGGAGCAGGAACTCTGGTTTGAATACTGAATCGACGTGGCTTTCCTTTTGTGAACCTCTCACTCCTCACATGCTCACAGCACCCTCTCCCATGCACCACCAGTCAGGATCCTGGCCTGGTGTCTTCGGTTGGTTTTGTGAATGGTGGATAGTTTTCTCTTCCATCTGTTTTTTTCCGGTCTATCCCAATTTATCCTGCTGGAAGGCAACAGGCAAGTCCCAAACATGTCTGGGCTGTGGCCTTACTTGAATCTGACGGGAGCCGTGAAACCCAGGATATGCAGCGGTGCTCAGTGCCTTGCACACATCCCTCAGGTACTCCCGGGGCCTAAAAACATCCACCTAGCGGGTTCCCTCACACTGAGGCTTCTTATTCCTCTCTCAACGATGCCACTGCTATACAGTGCCAAATGGGGATTAATAGGTCACGTGATCTGAAGAGCTATGCACAGTGATTTTCTCCCACAGCTATCCGTGCCCACAGAGTGGCTCCTCCAGAGCAATCACCCCAAAAGACTTCTCTGTACGAACCTAAGGAAATCTTCCCCTTAGGCCACAAGTCACTGGGAACTCCACGGTCTCTGAGTTGTGTCTGTCTGGAGTCTTTCAGAGACACGTGTCACAGATACCTGTGGGGTTCCCCTCTTCACACGCAGGGATCTGGAATCCATTCCAGGCAGCTGTGGGCAGTATCCAGAGGTGACTCTTGCTTGGCAGCAAGAATGGAACCCCCTGGCACATTGCAGTTCCGTGGGTGCCATCCCCCACGATAGGACCCAGATGTGCCTGCATGGCTAACTAGGCTATGCTTGTCCAAATTTATCACAGAAACACTCCAGGGATGGGGCGACATCACGAGAGCTGCATTGGTTAACTTTGAATTTGACAAGTAAGCATTGTCTTTCTATAAAACCTGCCATCCTCCACAAACTCAACTCACCGTCTTGTCCACAGTTGTGCCTCTTGGAATGCAGGCTTCTCAGCTCATGCTCAGGCCTTGTGTGGGACCTTCTTGTACATGCTGTGTGCACACGTGTGGCACTCAGAGGACAACCTTCAGGGGATAGTGCTCTTTCCACCTTGTATGAGCCATGTGGTTTTGGCAGTAGGGCGAGTCTCTGCCTCCATCTTTTCATAGGCGTGCTATGATTACAGATGTGCACCACCTCACCAGGATTTTATATGTGAGTCCTAGGGATTCTAACTCAGGTCCTTAAATTTGAGTAGCAAGCACTTCGCCCACTGAGTCATCTCTATAGCCTTACAGTTGTGCCCAGTGTTACTTCTGGAGGAAGGAGAACAGAGGGAAAAGGTCCATGGCAGGGAGAATCCCTGGTCTCCCAGGACACCCTGCCATTCTCCCAATAAGCAGGGTGCCACTGGCACGGCACTTAACCAAAATTCACCTTGCTAAATACCTGTTCCATTGAATAGCATTTAAATGATGTGTGGAGACACTTGATCTAAGAATCCATTTCTCATTACTTCCTACATGTTCCAGAAAACTAGGTTATTTAAAGTCTTCTGAGTGAATTGCAGACATAAACTCAGAGCTGAATTATGTTCCCAGGTGTGTTAGAGAAACAGGGACTCTTAAAAACTCAACCCATCGTTTGGGGATGACTGATGTTTACTGCATCATGTTCATTTCTTGAAAATGCTGCCAGGTCCTGGTTTGTGCACCATGTACCTACAATGCAGAAACTTCAGCCAAACAGCAATGATGGGATTCACTTACATAGTTATATTTACCACCAAATTGTGTGTGTGTCTACTCAAGTGTGCATGTTGTTTTGGTACAAGGAGCCTGTGCTTGTGCTTTTAATGGTTATAAAATCATTCAAACATACACTTACTGAGCACTAAGTACATGGCAGGTGCCACAGAGCTGAGTGCTTGGCAGGTGTTTCTGCTCCCCTGCTCCCCTCCCCCCACCCCACCCCCAGGAGCTGAGAGAAGTTGCCATCATAACCTTCAGTTTATGGAGGTAACAGAGCACAGTAAGGCTGCATATTCCATGAGCAAGATGGTGGAAGTGTCTTAGTTCTGGTTTCTGTTGCTGAGAAGAGACACCATGACCATGGCATCTCTTATAAAGGAAAAACATTTAATCGAGGTGACTTACATTTTGAGAGGCTTAATCCATTATCATGGTGTGACATGGTGGCATACAGGCAGACGTGGTGCTGGAGAAAGAGCTGAAGTCCTGTATCTTGACTCACAAGCAGCAGGAAGTGGTCTGAGTGTCACACTGAGTGAAGCTTGAGCAAAGAAGACCTCAAAGCCCACACCCACAATGACACACTTCCTCCAACAAGGCTATACCTATTCCAACAAAGCCACACCTCCTAATAATGCCTTTAATAATGCCTTATAGGGACCAATTACATCCAAACTACCACAGACAGGAAAGTCAAGGGCTCAAAGCTGCCCCCTCTACCTGCAGCATTAAGATGCTATCCCACTGTCAGGAGACAGCAGTGTGCATTTTTGTCCAGACAGTTAGTTCCTAACCTGATGCCTCTTTCTGCAGAGCACCAGAGATTTGCTGTACAGAGGCTGGGGGGAAAAATCTCATCCCACTAAACCATGGTTCCCCCCCCCCCCATGAAGCCAGGGCATCTGGTTTCCACCCAAAGGTGCCGACTTGATTTCTGGGTTACTCACTGTAGACAGGAATCAAAGCAGGACTTGGGTTTCCATAACAAGACTCGGGTTTTCTTAAGGGGCCAGATGCCTCCAGCCTCATTCTCCTCCTTCCTTATCCTTGCACTGTGTTTTGATTCGATAATATCTTAATCTTTTAGCTATCTGGTTCCTTTAGGGAGAGCAGGAAGTATTCATTTTACCTAATCAGTGAAGAAAGGGGTGGGGGTCACAGTGGCCCTGCCTGCCATGGTTCTGGCTATGGAAGATCCACTGGTATGTCAGCTTTGGTCAGTTCTATGATGCCTGCATCACTGTGGCTACAATCTTATCTATGGTCATAATGTCCACAACATTTTTAGCCAGAGACAGACTCACTCATTACAGCGAGATGTGTTAATGTCACCCTAGGACCGCAGTTGCGGCTCTGGCTTTCTGGGGTCATGGGCTCCAGTCTCCCTGCACAGAACTCCCAGAGAGCAGGACATATTTACTATGGTAGACTATGTGCAAGCTGATAATGCATGACGGTCAAGGCAACAGGGCCACATTTTAATTTTGTCATGTTTGTTTTCAAAGTTGAGAGAGGGAGGAGGGGAGGGGAAGAGAGAACATTGTCGTTCTGCAATGCATTGCTATTGCTAGAACACAGGTGGGATGCAGAGGCCCAGGACCCCATGTGGCAGGCAGGGTGGGACTTTTCTCTGCCACCTGAGGGAAAAAGAATGATGTTTGGATTTTGTTGAAAATACAGACTGAAGAAAAATATACCAGTAAGAGCAGCCCGGAGTTCCTTCTCAGTTCCCACAGAGCTGGCTGCATTATACAGAGGCCTGACACCTCATAAGCAACCGTCTAGGCTAGACCCTCTCCTGACCATGGCAAGGCGGGACAGATGGGGACCCTTACTGTCCTCGGAGCTCACAAACTTTCCATCAGCATCTTGACTGTTTGGAGTTTTATCACAGGGATGAACATCCCATTGTCCTCAAAGCTGAGAACCATCTGAGAGGACATGATGGCTCACAAGACTATGAGCATAAATTGAGACTATCGTGGGAAAGTGTCTCATCTCCTAAGTTCCCATGATAAATCCAAATGCGTTAAAGCAGACTATAACATACACCTTTCCTTCTCTCCCACACACCAATAAAACCCTGGTGTTATCTTTACTGCAGAGACTAGATACTTCGTCATATTTAGCAGAAAAATTAGTATTGCTTTGTAAGGAATGATTTTATAACCCGAGTCTCCTTATGGTGAGTGTGTGCTTTTGTTTTTACATTACACACAGACATTGTGTTCGGTTTTCTGTTCTGTGATGAGAACTGGAGCTTGATTTGTGTGTGGCCTTCATTACCCAGGGCTTGTTGCTAGGGTGAAATTCCTGTCAATCACGGCTGTCAAACGGCAGCGGCTCTTACTCTTGGTGAACACATGCCAGGCCCTGCCCTAAGAGCTTTACTCGGTCTGTCCTCATTCCAACCCTGAGGGAAGGCAGTTACTATCCCTGCACTTGTCCAAAAGCTAGGGCACACTAGCGTGTGCACAGCCAGTGTGGTCCTTACACCTACCTAGGGGGTTTGTCTATATTCTAGCGCCTTCTCCTATTTCCTCTGATGAGATCTGATAAGAGACATGTCACCTGTATGTCTGGCCCTTGTTCAGCACTCTGAGTCCAATCTGTCTGTTGTTCATTCTTGGCACATCTCCCACACAGCTGTGGTCTGCTGACTTCTGTAGGCGCCCCATCATGTTGCAGGGAGCTGTTTAATCTGGTGTTGTAGCCTCTGAGCTGCTGTCTGTAGTTCAGGAGATGTGATTTTAGTTCAAGCACTGTGAAAACATCATACACATTTGAAGTAACTTTTTTGGTTTTTTTAATTTTATTGAGTTATACATTTTTCTCTACTCCCCTCCCATCATCCCTTCTCCCCTTTTCTCCTCTCCTGTGATCCCCACACTCCCTATTTACTCAGGAGATCTTGTCTTTTTCTATACCCATGTAGTTTAGATTCATATATCTCTTTCTCCTCTTTGTTGTCTAGTTTCTCTGGGGTTGTGGCCTGTAGACTGGTTTTTCTTTGCAATTAGTCTTTCTGTGTCTGGGTTACCTCTCTCAATATGGTTTTTTTTTTTCTAGATCTATCCATTTGCCTGCAAATTTCAAGATGCCATTATCTTTTAACGCTGTCTGGTACTCCATTGTGTAAATCTACCACATTTTTTTTTATCCATTCTTTGGTTGAGGGGCATCTAGGTTGCGTCCAGATTCTGGCTATTATGAATAATGCTTCTATGAACATAGCTGAGCACATATCCTTGTGGAATGATTGAATCTTGGGTAGATTGTTTCCTAATTTTCTAAGAAATTGCCATTCTGGGTTTCAAAGCAGCTATACAAGTTTGCACTCCCACCAGCAATAGAGGAGCATTCCCCTTACCCCACATCCTCTCCAGCATAAACTGTCATCAGTGGTTTTGATCTTGGCCATTCTGACAGTGTAAGATGGAATCTCAGTTGTTTTGATTTGCATTTCTCTGATGGCTAAGGATGTTGAGTATTTCCATGTCTTTTAGTCCTTTGAGATTCATCTGTTGAGAATTCTCTGTTTAGGTCTGTCCCCCATTTTTTTCTTTTTTTTTTTCCATTTTTTTTATTTTATTGAGAATAAGAAAAAAAAAGTTTCCGCCTCCTCCCAGCCTCCCATTTCCCTCCCCCTCCCCCACNCCTCCTCTCCCCCTCCCTCTCCTATCCAAAGAGCAGTCATGGTTCCCTGCCCTGTGGAAAGTCCAAGGTCCTCCCCCCTCCCTCCATGTTGTACCCCATTTTTTTCATTGGATTATTTGTTCTTTTGATGTCAAGTTTCTTGAGTTCTTTGTATATTCTAGATAACAGTCCTCTGTCTGATGTGGGGTTGGCTAAAAATCTTTTCCATTCTGTAGGCTGCCATTTTGTCTTGTTGACCATGTTCTTTGCTTTATAGAAGCTTCTGTTTCAGGAGGCCACATTTATTAATTTTTGCTCTAAGTACCTGTGCTACTAGGGTTATATTTAGGAAGTGGTCTCCTGTGCCAATTCATTCAAATGTACTTCCCACTTTCTCTTCTATGAAGTTCAGTGTGGTTGGTTTTATGCTGAGATCTTTGATCCATTTGGACTTGAGTTTTGTGCATGGAGACAGATACAAATCTATTTTCATTTTTCTACATGTTGATATCCAGTTATGCCAGCACCATTTGTTGAATATGCTTTATTGTTTCCATTTTATATTTTTAGCTTCTTTGTCAAAAATCAAGTGTTTGCAGGATTGATATCCAGGTCTTTGATTCAATTACATTGGTCCTCCTGTCTTTTTCTGCCAATACCAGACTGTTTTCATTACTGTAGCTCTGTAGTAGAGTTTGAAGTCAGGAATTGTGATGCCTCCAGAAGTTCTTTTATTGTACAGAATTGTTTTGGCTATCCTGAATTTTTTTGTTTTTCCATATGAAGTTGATTATTGTTCTTTCAAGGTCTTTGAAGAATTTTGCTGTGATTTTCTGGGCATTGCATTGAATCTGTATATTGCTTTTGATATGATTGCCATTTTTACTATGTTAATTCTACCTACCCAAGAGTGTGGGAGATCTTTCCATTTTCTGGTGTTGATGTTTGGATCCTGATGGACACATGGATCTACCAAATCCCAAGACAGTGCAGGTTTTGTGTGACTTTTAAGGTGTGTTTTGCTGTGTAGCCTCAATGCCTGCTACCACACGTGTGCCCCACTATGCCTCTTCATGCAAGTGCATCAGCTCATTTAATGACCAGGACGTCCTGTAAGGGATTCTAACTCTGATCTTCAGGGTCCTTTTTCCCCTGCAATGAAGGGGCCAAGAATGGAAAGTGTCATGCTAACCAGACCTATCCTGGACCCAGGAGAGTTTGTACAGTATTTGCTGACTGATGCTCACCAGGGGCAGAGAGGAAGGTACCCCAGGAAATGCCTCAAGGGGTCTTAGATTTCCATGAAGCATTTAAAGTTGCCACACGAATAACTGCTGGTATAAATAATTATCCATGTGCTGGGAACATCTTACATGTTCTTTTATTTAAGCCCTATACCAGGGCTACAAGATAGGTTACTCCATTTTCCAGAGAGGTAGACTTGTGTGAGTCCCTTTGGATATAACTCAATGTAGAATAACCCTCGGCCAGGAACCCATCACTCCATAGTGTCCTCACAGGTCTTTACTTGTCCCATAAGTCACTGTATGGCTCCTTTCTACAGATAATGCAACAAGTTGTACAAATTACAAAGCATACTATCTTTTTCAGATCCTGACCCCAGGAGGATGGCTGTCTTCTAAATCCTGCGCATCCTCAGTTTAGCGAGTCCTTCATAAACTGAGTGTGTCTGAAAGCATAGATGGATTTATATCCATCCCCTAGGGGTACTGACAGAACCCTACCATCCACTGTACCCCTAAGACGTGTGAGGTCAGATAACCCACATAGGAGTGTACCTACATGATTCTTTTAAATGTTGCAGAAAATTCCACATGAAGGCTAAATACAGGCCCCACTTTGTATCGTAGAAGGGTTATGAATCGGAGATGAAGCCAGCACTGTGTAGCAATGTGCACTGCCTTCCAGGAGACTACTGGGTCCCAGGGTCCAGTTCTGACCACAGAGTTGAGTCACATGTGGTCTGTTGTCTGTTGCAGGGTACCCACAAACCCAGCCCTCCTCAGAAGCCTCTGCCTGCTGATCCATTGAGCAGGGCATCTCGGCTCACTAGTGCCTTGGTGAGGACCCCAGGGCAGCAAGAGCCTGGGTTCGGCTCAGCCCCAAACAGGTAGGTGTCCTCTAACGGTGGAGGGTAGCTGAAGTAACCACACTGGAGGTGTGACAAGTTTCAGGTGTTAAGTCATGTTTCCTGCTTGCCCCCAGCATGGGAAGGGTGGGAAATATGTGTAAAAGTAAACCAGGAAGCAATCAAAGCAAACTATACCTATGCATACCTAAACATCACCCCAGGGCTCTCAGCAATGGCTCACTTACTTGAGAGATCATAGCAGGATGAAGATGACCCAGGAAGGATGAGCTGCTGACACGGGCCCAGCCTGGTCTCCTACAGGCACTAAGGAAAATGGTCTATCTGTATCAAGGCAGGACCCTCCACCACCCTCACCAAGACTTGCTCTGCCTGCTCCAGGGTCTGAGACAATAGTTCGGGTTGAGAGATTATGGAGAGGTGGGGGCTTCTCTACAGCTGAGTGACCTGTGCTGGCTCTCTCTGGCTGTGGTCATCTTCACCCCTCTCCCATAGAGGATGAGGCAGATGTAGCCCAGATTCTATTTACATGGGGAGAGGTAACCCACAGCTGTACTGAAGCTGGCTCGTGCCTTTGCAACCTAGCCAATATTAAATATTAAAGTATATCAAGTTGCATTTAAAACAAGGGTAATGAATACTCAAAACATTGCTCCCAAGATCCTTGCTGCTAAGGTTACTCACATCAGGAATCTCTATGGGGGAATCCACGGCATGCTGGGTGCTCTCCCATCTTCCAGGTTTGCTGGTGCCATAGTGTAGCTGGGGACATTGACAAGATGGAAATCAGTAAATGCTGCAGCTCAACCTCTTCCTCAGTGAAATTATTCCCTTGTGGGTCTTTTGTTGTTTTGTTTTTTCTCGGTTCCTGGGATAAAACGTACTAGGCAAGCGCACCATAGCCTAGCATTCGTCTCCCTAGTGGCCAGGTTTACATGAGCCGCTCAGTCCTTATCCTCCTTTGGGATGGGACTAGAGGAACGAGCTACCATGCCTGGCTAGCAGATCATTAAACTCACGGCCAGCTCTTCTGACTCATGTGCCCTCTAGCAGGCCATGAGCTCTCTGAGCACCAGAGAACCAGAGATGCTGTTAGCCAGGCTGCACGCTTAGTAACTCCCATCTCTGCAGGGAAAGATGCACGTCATTGATTCATTACGGCTCTTGGGAGGAATGTGTTGGCCTAGGAAAGAAATGGCTGCCTCGTAAATCTCAGAGATAATGCTGGTCAGAGGGTCAGGAGAACAGTCTAGCTCACCACTGTGGAAATGCAGACAAAGCTGCATAGCTTTTGAGTTACTTTTTATATTTCACTAGATAAAACTACTGCATGGACATGATAAGGCTGACCAAGGGGCACTCCTTTTCAGAACATCCCAAGCAGCCCCCTGCCTCACCTCTACTGATATCAGCCTGGCTCCCCATCTCTTGAGCTGTGCCATGGGATCAAAGTGGCCACTAGGCATGTTGGAGCTGGTTCAAAACTGAAATAAGAGTGTAAACGTGTACCAGATTTCGAACACTTAATTCTGCCCCCTTGATTCTCCCAGTTATGTATGCTGATTATATACAAAGATGATACAGCGATAAAATTGAGCTTACCTGTGCTACTTGGTTGTTAGAAATATAGAATTTGAGGCCGGAGAGAACAGCTCAGTGGTTAAGAGCACTTGCTGTTCTTCCAGAGGGCTAGAGTTCCGTTGCCAGCGCTCCCATTGGGTGACTCATCACAAGGATCTGTAACCACACCAGGGGGAATCAGAAGCGCCCTCTTCTGGCCTCCACAGGCACCTGCACTCACATGCAGAGACATTACAGATAAATCTAAAAGGAAAAACTAGGGATTGTCTTGAGCCATTCATGTCCATTTTTCTGCAAATAGTGCTAGTCTAGAATCAACTCATAGATAGGAGGCACAGTTCCAGAGAGGGGAGGTGGCCTGTCATAAATCACTAGGACTTCTGCAGGGAGGTCCTTGGTGCGCTCTGCATTCTCTCCCAAAAGCTAGCCTGGTCTCCAGTCTCAGGTGGAGATCAGTGGCTTCTAGCCTGGGAGACCCACCAGTCTCCAGGAGCAGCCTCCCGCCCAGCTTTTGTGTCTATAGAACGGCTTCGGAGCATCTAACTGCAGTTTTGTTTTCTCCTCCCTGGCTTGCTCTTGATTCAGACCTGCTCCTAAGCACCAAGTGCCCCGATCTTCCCACAATGCCTACATCAAGTGACAAGCAAGCCCAGACTGGTCCTCAACAGTGAAGACAGAAGTTTGCACTATCTTCAACTCCGTTGGAGTGATTTCTTTTTATACCAACTTTCAAGAATTTTCAAAGTGTTTAAAACGCCATTGTTTCCGGAACTTAGAGCTACTGCCGTCGGTGCTGTGCTGTGGTGCTTTGTGTCCTTGCTCAGGTACTTGTAAGTTATTAATTTATGCAAAGTGTCTATTACTGCGCAGGGCGCCGTAGCAGGCATTTGTGCCATCGCGGGGTTTTCTACAGAAGGCTCCTTGTGCTTTCGTTCTTCTGGCGGACTTGAATGATCCTGCCTGATGGGATCCAAGACGAGATGTTTACTTCCTGTTTGAGGCCTTATTGGAAAACAGCTCCCCAAGGCTGTGTTACAGTACCAGACACACAGCTCAGGATACCCCAAGTGGAACCTGGAATGATTTTTTTTTTCATTTTTTTTGGAATCCCTATCTTGGACTACAGCCAGGGCCTTAAGGAAGGTCTTGGGCCCTACATACTGACAGGGCTTCAGACTCTGCAGCTCTGCACCCTGAAGATCTTAGAGAAAACCTAGAGTACTAGCAAGAAGGCTGAGGTGTGGCCACACCAGGATAGAGACTGGAACCCTAGTCCAGGCAGACAGTTGACTTTGAGCTGAGAGGCCATGAACACCTTTGGAGAAAAAAGAAGTCTGTGATGCCGCCCAAGGCTCTGCTCCCAGAGCCAGCAGGAGCTTCTCTCTGGCTGCCCTTGTGCACAGTGCTGGCATGCATGGGCATGTTGTTTACATTGGGAACAGTGGTGTTTCTGCGAGAAAGCCACTGCCCAGGCACTGCAGACCTCTGTCTCCTGCCCCATTTTGAGCTAAGCAAACTGCCACATTGTCTTCTTGACTGTAATACAATGACCCTGTGTTCTGACAGATAGAAGCAGCTTTCTATGGGACCATAAATATTTTCAGATGTGAGCCGGTAACCAGATCTAGTCGATCAACCCTGGAGATAAAAATCTCCTTTTTTACTGCAAGGCTCGACTTATTAAAAATTAGGCAGAATCCATATGCTTGCAAAAGTTATAACCACATGGAATGTTATTCTCATCGTACAGCCATGTCTGCTATCCTTAGTAGTCGCGGGACAAAGAACCCAAAGTCACCCATCTCTTCTCTTGAGGGCATCCTGTTTTCTGCAGCATAGCATCTCAGTCGTGCCCACACTGGGAACGTACCTGTTGTTAACTCATCCTAGGATGACAGAGACATCAGTTCCCCAAGGCGAAGGCTCACGAAAGGCAGACCCCTCCATCTTTCACTCTTTCATGCCTGGCTGGAAAGCCACCTTCAGGAGCAGATCTTTAAGATGCCTCAAGCTAATGCTATGAAAGATAGTTTTAAAAATGCAAGGCAAATGGCAGAGGCATCACTGTGTCCTGGCGAGGTGTGGGATGGCCAGCTTTCACAGTAGAAGGTAATTGACATTGGTTCTGTAGCATCTGAGTATTTTAGGATCAGGTAGTATCAATGGTTGCCCTATGTCTTGAAGCCGAAGGGGAAATACAGACTTAGACTTTGTTTTGCTCTCCAGAATTCAAAGTGTATTCAGCCTTGGGAAACACATGGTCTTGAAGACAGTGGGTAAATAAATCCACATCAGAGATGCACAAAAGAACTCTCATAGGCTGTCTCGTTTCCTGGCACAGTGACAGTTTCGCTGCTGCCGGGACACATGCAGAATTTTTGCAACTGATGTGAGGTTGGGTCGTTGTATTAAGTTCAAACTTACACAACTGGAAAAGTTCCAGAGCTGTGTGAGCATGGTCACACTTAAAGGTTTAGTTGGAACAGGTGATGAGCCCACCCTTTGGGTGGAGTGAGAGGGAAGCTACAAACCCATATTTCTTCTGTCATTTCTGTACTTTGGTTTTGGAGTACCAGGGAGAGTTTGATTTAAAGGACGTTGGAACTGCGCTCTTTGCCATCTCCCCAGAGGCTACCAAGGGTGCCGATGGTCCCCTCACAGCTGAGCGGTGCTGGCTGCTTGTTTTCCAGAGCCATGCATCTGTTTCGGAATAAGAACATAGTTAATCCTGATATTCCCTTACAGGATAGACAGTATTATTAAAAGAATACCTCTAAGATATAGTAATCAAATAAAGCATATTTAGCAATAACCCCAATTTTAACAAAATTAGGAACCAATAACCAGCATGGGGGTTTATTGAGAGGATAGTTTGTCTCTCCCTTTCTATAGCTTTTAAGTGACAGAGACCAAAATGAATACTCGCAGTTCAATTGCAGTCTATCTTACGTTTAAACACACTGTACACATGATTAGTCGGCTGAGGTTTCTGAGACTATCCCTGAGAAAGTCCAGCAGAGTGGTCCAGTGCCCAGACATGAGGCAAGTGCCCAGACATAGGCATGGCTGGATGTCCTCAAGGTGATGTGACCCCGCTTTAGGGAGGAGGTGAACCTTGCCGGCATTCCACTTAAGAGCTGGTCTCCTACAGTATTCCCAAGTCTGATTTTCCAGTACGTGGGATCAGATGGAGAGCAACAATGCATTTTTTCCATTTCAAAATATGCATGCCGAGTTTGCGCTGTGTGAGCGTTTCCAGCTCACACATGTGGGATGACATCACAGAAACCACACAAGCAACAAATTAAACTCTACGGGAAGAAATACTCCTGACTGGTCTCTGAGGAGACGTTTTTATGCCTTCGTAACTTTATTAGGAATTCTCAGGCTGAAGCTATGGGTCATTGTTCTCCAACAAATCAATACAACCCATCAATGCATTCCCTAGGAACTGCCAAAGCCTAGGCTGTGTCTGAATGTTCTTAGGAGCCTGTGATCCCCATGGTGCTACAAAGAGGCTGGAGCTGGGCCAATGAGGAGGTGTTGAAATAGGAGCGGCGGCGGGGCTGCGTCCCCAACACCCCAGCCGCTTGGCTAGCTCACGCCCGAAATAACAACACACAAACTGTATTCATTTAAAGAACTGCTTGGCCCATGAACTCTAACCCTTACAGGCTAATTCTCGCCCCTGGACTAGCCCATTTCTAATAATGTTTGTAAGCACGCCAAGGTGCGCTTACCGGGAAGATTCTAGCCTAAGTCCATCGTGGGTTGGAGTTGCCTGGGAGAGCTGAGCATGGCGTCTCTGCTCCAGCAGAGCTGTC